TCATATCAATACACTCATTCCACCTGTAGAGGCAGATCTGATTTGTCTGACATCCCGAGAAACCATTAAGCTGTGTATAATGAAGAATTTCTGCTGGTGCTTCAAAGGACCTGGGTTACATGAATCCATTATCTCTTTTGAAAGTACCCTGAGATCTGACATCCATGCCTCTTGTTATTTCAAGGCTACCCAGCAAAAGGAGAGATAGTCAGTGTCCTCAGATTGTGCTGAATTTCTGTAAAAGAGGAAAATAAACTGCATTTCTAACTATAGGAGGACAGATTTTCTATTTAGGAAAGGGCAGCAATAAGTTATTCTCAGCGTAGCCTGTCTGAAGGTGGACAATCTGGCAATAAAAGGATTTCCAAGTTGCAATGAGGAGGAAATAATTGGTGCCAGAAAGTGAGCTGCCACCCAAAGGTACTGCGGGGTGGAGGAGAAAGGGCAACCCATTATGAAAAAAGAGGCCAGATCATCAAAGGGACACAAATCAGCATCTCTGTAGTGAAAATGAGGAAATCCAGCTGCTTTTTGACAACCTGTGGATGTAACCAAGAGATCTTGCTTGAGCTGAAGTAGGTTTTGACACACCTCAGGTTGTGCATGTCAGGGTGACTCTGAGCCCAGGAGGGCTGGAATAATGCCTGGGTGCAAATAACTTTTTACTCTGTTTTGTTTGTTTAAGATGAAGAAATGACCTTAAACCTTTCCAAGATTTTCCCCCTTGCATTATAACTCCTCTTTTCATAATGAATTTTATTCCATGGTGTCCATAGGGGTATCCTTTGCTATAAAAATTTAATCCAAAGGATTCTGTTCAGTTGTTTCATGCAGACCCGTGTGGCCCAGATGAGTCAATCAACTGATTGCTTTTTTTCTTCCCTTTTGCTTTTCCTTATCATGGGGCTGTCAGTACTTAGGGGCAGTGTTTATAAGCTAATAGCTGATTAGGACTCTAATCACGTGCCATCTGGAATGAAAGGAAAATGCCAGGGAGAAGCAAAATGCAGATTTAATATTCCTAAAGGAGGGAGCTGTGCTGTGCTTGCAGTGCAGAGCTGGGATGGGGACAGGAAGGGAGTAGGGATGGGGACAAGGCAATTTGCTTCCCCTCCCAAAGTGCTCCTACCATCCTGCTGCATGTGCAGGAAAGGCAGAGCAAGTTCTGCTGCATGAAATCTCTGCCTCTTGCCTTTGAAGTACTCAGTGTATATAATCTTGTTTTTCCAGACTCTTATCTACCTTATATAAACTAAGAACTGGCAAACATTTCAACCCTGTTCGGGAAAGTGTGAGAAGATTAATATATTTGTCTTTCAGCCCTAAGATGGGTCCTGTCTTTTCTGAGATGGGGTTTGGCTCTTGGTGCTACAAAATGCTCTCTGATTCCAGGAGTGGCTGCAATCCGTGGGCACCTGGAGGTTGGGCTGCCCAGCTCCCACAGGCTCCCTTTGGGCCTGAGGGATCGATCAGGACCCAAGTGCTGCTCCTTGAATGCAGGAATCACACCGCACTCCTCTTTCCCTTTGGCTGGGGAGACCCACGTTGGGAACCATCGCTGATGGGAGCCATTGGTGATAGGGGTTTGGTCAGGGAGATCAGCATCGTTCCCTCCAAACAGAGGAAGAAACAGGCACGTAAACTAAAAGAGCTGTGAGCTGCTCTGATCTGCCTTCTTGCAACAGATAACTGCTGTGCTAAGTTGTTCTGCATGGCCAGAGGTGGCTTAAGGGATAAATGCAGAGGCTTTTATTCAGGTACGCACATTCAGAAACAGAGAAAGTAGGGATCTCAGCTGCTGGCATTGCCACAAATGCAGGCAGGTTTTCCTTTCTGTAAAGTTGCGTTGTCACGGGTGAAGGAGGGAATCTGTCCTTTAAGTGGGATTTTTGTACTTTCCACTAAAGTTCCTGGTATTTGGAGAGCTTATCCAAGCAACTCTGCTGACTGCTCCTCTTCTATTCTCCCACCCAGCTTTCAGCATCTTGCAGCCTTTTGAGTGGACGGAGAAAAATTGCCATTTTTATTTCACACAGAACCGAGGAACATAGAAATAAAGCAAATGATAAAAATTAATTTGTAGCAAAGAAGATTCCCCTGGTCTCCAATCCCAAATCCTACCTTGTAGGTTATTTTTGCTCTCTATGCTTGCAATAAGAACGGATTTGTACGTAGGAATCAGGCTGCATTCATGCTCAACACAGCATGAAATCCTCCAGTACACACTACGTCTCTAGAGATTTGGGTTACTTGTATGCAAGATCTGGCTTTCAGTTCTGGCTCCTGATTTTAATTTCCTATCTTATACAGGTGCTTGGCTTGGGAGCCTGCATTGCTGCTGGTCCTGAATGCTAATTCCCACCAAACCATATGAAACAGCTATTGTAAATGTGATAAGGAAGCACTGGGAGCTGGTGTCACAGTCTCAGCTGATTGTAAACTGATATTGCTCCCTTGCTTAAGTGGAAAATTAGCTGAAAAAAAAAAATCATTAAAATATGGTAGACATTTTCCTCAGGCTGTTCTGAGGGCTGCAGTTCCGCGATGCATTCAAATAAGTTCTGTACTCCCTGTGCCCTTGTAATGCAGAGGAACCGTCCATCAAGAAGTACAGGACTATCTATCTATTCACTGATCTACTGTAATTAAGGCACCTGGAATGTTTATGGGATTTGGGTCCCTGCATCTGAAGAATTTTGGATTTGTGCCTCCATTTTAATCAAGTGTGAGACCGGTTATTATTAACACAGGATTTGGATGCACCTGCCTGCTCAAAGAGCTAATGAAGATAGATTCCTTTCACAGAATAAATTACAAGCCAGGTCATGCAACCTCTGTTTCTGAGGTATTTCTGGTGAATAAGGGACTGAAAAGACAGCATGGATGGATGAACAGATGAATGTTCCAGAAAGTTCACGAAGGACAATCTCATAGATAGAGCCAGACATGACAGACTCCTCTTTAAATTTAAAGATTAAGTATAGGATTCTAAAGAGTTAACAGAAAAGGTCATAACGTGTTTTGGACCAAGAAACCAGAGTTGAAGGCACCTGAGAGCTATTCGGACTGCTTTGGACAGCTCTGAAGTCCTGTGGATTGTGCCCATCTCAGGAGCCAGTGCCTGCAGAGCTGAAATTTCAGCCTTCTGAGGCTGGATACTATCAACATTATATTTTCATTTTGTCAAAAGAATTTATTTGCTACCCACAGGCTGAAGATTTTGACTTTTGACTCAGTTCCTTGGGGTTCCCACTGAGACCAGATATCTCAGCCATAATGCTGCAAGAAGGTTTCACTGCAATCACTCTTGGTGTGACAAAATAGCTGCATGCTGATTATCATAGCCTGAAATCACACCGTATTGTGGTTCCTGAGACAGCAAAGTATCTCCTTCTCCTAGCTGTCTGGCTGAATTATATTATTTGTGTCCAGATTCTATCGTACTGGGCTGCTATCTCTTGCAAAAAGCAGTAAATTAAAGCTCCCAAATAACCGCTCGCTGCCCACAGGCTATCTCCTACTGCCATATTTGGTGCTTATCACCCTTTCAAAGTGAATAGCACTGACTTTTCCCATGATCCTGACACCTGACAAAACAGCATTCTTTTTTTTTTTTTTTTTTTTTGCATTGTATGTCTTGTTTCGTTATGCATAGAGAGGAAAAGGGAAGGACAGAGGGGACAGTGCTGATTTGTTTCCATAATCCTACCCGTCACATCAGTATAGACAGTTACAGGGTGCCAGCTGACACGATCACATTAGATTGACTTAATGAGAGAAGCTTAAACAAACACATTTCACCATCCACGTATCAGGTTTTCTGCCGTGCCTCATCTGGCGAGCTTAACTTCGTCATGACATAATTTGATTTTAGTTGATTATGCCCTTATGTGATTTGGCAGAAAAAAAAAAGCCAAAAGGAAGAGTATGACACTTCCATATGTGTCTATGCAATTTAGATAACCGAGCGCTGTCTGTTTGATGAGCACTGCCACCACTGGGTTATCCACAGAGCCAACTTCGTGTCTACCCTTCTGCCATTCAGAATGCCTCCAACCCTGCAGGCATTCATGGATTGACTTCTGAGATCAGAATGGGGTCTGAGGTCACAGCCAGCCTTTCTCTGGGAAAAGGATGAGCCGGGGGGCTCTGGGAGGTTCCCCAGCCCTCTGCCTGTGGCACCCAGAGGAAGTGAGCTGCATTTCCTCCTGGAAATCACTCATTTCAGCACTTGGGTGGTCACACAAACAGTTCCCGTGTAAATTACAACATCAGAAAAAGTTAACAAAGCATAACATTCCATCTCCAGCTCGAGTACATTGGAATCGATTCATTTTCATGAGAAACGTGCTCATGCTTGGCACTAAATCCTTTCACTTTGCTTCCAACCAGCACTGCACACCCACATGCAGATGCTGTTTTTTTTTTTTCTTCCTACAAGGAAGGTGAGGCATCAACGTGAGTTTCTCTACAGGCTTGTAGGAACAGAGGGACTGGTAGCAAAATGAGAAGTTATTGCAGCTAATGCCTTTACAAAAGAAAGTGATGAAATACACTGTTTATTGTGCTAGCAAATGCTAGGACATATAGGTCTATATAAGCCATCCCTTGGAAGACCTCTCCACTGAACTGTGTGCAGTGACCCTTTTCTGTATAATTTATAGTTGCTGGTAGAAGCACCCTATATATCCTACCATACCATTAATTTATTTAGATTTTTTTGTTGTTGTTTTTATATTTGAAGATCGTGTTATGAAGAAGAGCCAGTACATCACCTTCCATTTCTGCTTTATCCTTGTGGTGTTCTTCTTCCAAGCAAAGGAGACCACATCTTTTTCATCAGCCATCTGATTCTTACTCCAGGACATAGTCCACAAAGGAAGCTTACTCATGCTGAATGACCCGCTGTTCTCATGCACCGTTGAGAAGACCAAATGATTTGATTACACAAAATGTAGGAAGGTGAAAGAAAGAGATTAGGAATACAAAGTGTGCCAGAGATGATGCCATTCCCAGCTACTGCTTTGTCAGAATGGGGCTTTTCTTGGTGTGATGAATCTTGGCACTGATGGGGAAGGCAGCTTTATCCTTTTACTGAGCTGCTTCCAGAACTGCACATCCCGAGACCCAAGTAAACCTCCCAGTGACAACTTGGTGTCTTGCACATTCCTGTGCAAGTCTATATAGCTACAGAGGAGGTGGCAAAAGAGTTAAGGAGATGCAAACTGATTTCAAATGCAAATACCAAGGCAACAGTTTGCATTAAAAATTAGCAGCTCTGAATGTCAGGGAAAGAGTTTCATAGGCGTCATCTGCCACCTTCCAGGCAAGGTATCCAAACGTGGGCAGGCCACTACTTCCAGAGAGCTGGGCTGGAAAGGGAGGAGATTTTGGGAAGGGTCTCCACTAGGTTCTGCAGGAGCAGTGACCAGGGGATCTCTGATTAGGGATCTCCCCCCTCTCCCTCCCACAGGACCCTCCAGGCACCTGGTTTGGGGGTGATGGGGTTCCCATGAAGGATTGCAATGGCAGATGTGGTCAGAGAGCCTTCTGGAGTCAGTAAGAGGGTGATTTGAAGGCTGCAGATTTGATGAGCAACAGGAAGAATGCTGGAAGGCTGCAGCTTGAAAAGCAGCAGGACAAACACACACCGGAGATGGGCCAGGATTCACATTGCTTTTGAAGGGGAAGGTCCCAGGGTCTTCTCTCAGACTCTGTCCTGATCATTTTCCCTCTTGTGCTTTCAAATCTCTTCTGCTCTCTATTTCCTTTTTTTCTTTTCTTTTTTTTTTTTTTTTTTGGCCACAGAAATTCAGGTTATATAGAAAAAATAAACACAGCTTTCAAACGAAACTGAAGCCCGTGTTATCTCAACAGTTTCAGCCATCACTTGCCAAGTTCTGCAGGTCCCTTCCATCTGGTGTGCATTGCCAGCTCTCTAAATTGAAGTTCTAAACACACGATTCATTTTCTGTAACAGAAAACTTTATGAGCTGTTTCTAGCAGCTCCCTCTGACTGCCCTGTTCTTCTTAGCTGGGCAGGAGATAACAGAGCTGCTCCTGCCAGCTCAGGCCACCAGCAAGGCTGCTGATTGCTACAGGAGGCCCCTGGGTGCCACTGCACAATCCAACCCCAGCTGGAGTAACACCTGCAGGATGCTTTGCTTCCTTCTTGCTTCCTTTCAAAATTGTTACTCAGTTTTTGATTCCTTCAGTTTAGAACCTTGGCCACATCTGCAATCAGTAATAGTTGCAGCTGCTGTTGTTGCACACTGCATTAGCCATGCAGTTGTCTTTACAGAGAGGCAGACTTTCATGGAACTCTTTATAAAAAAAAAGAATTTTCCTACTGAAGGAAGCCTGGAGGCACTGGATAACATTTTCTTCAAATTGTCCAATTAAAAACAAAGTGTCCGAGAGCTTATAACCAAAGCAGCTGTTAGCTCAAAATCTAAACCAATTATTTCTAAAATCTGCTCCTGATTGACTTATGCTAATGCACTATTTTATTATCATGAAGAACAGTAGCTTGCCCTGTGGTTTACCAGGCTAATAGGGTAGATAACATTTGTTTTGCATGTCCATGATAAGCACAGAGTTTTAATTGACTCAGCACATCATAGCATGGCAGCAACTGGGCAGGGCTCTGTGTCTGCAGCTCTACAGAGGGCACAGAACTTCTGCAGAAGCTATTAGGGCTTGTGCATGTCTTGTCTGCATGGGTAATTAATGAAATATCACAAGAAAAACACTTCTTTCTGTTCTAGCATCAAGTGCCCCACGTAAATCCTAAGGAAAGCTTGCTTGGCTGCAGCTGGTGGTACTGGAGCTAATAGGAATTTAGGGCATCTACTCCTTCTCTATGCCCACCCTACTTCTCCAGAAGGCAGTACACTGGAGATGTTTTTCCTTCAGAGGTGAAGAGCAGACCTGCACGTTTGTCCCACTGACTTCTGCACATGCAGCTCATTAAAGGCTTTACAGAGACCCCTGCAAAGGAAGCAGCTTCTTACAACAGCCCCAGACAAGTGGAAGGTCTCCGTGCTGGGGAGGGCACACAGCAGCTTGAAGATTTCTTCCCAAGTCCTCTGGCTGTCTGCCCACCCATCCATGGGAAACAAAGCTTGTACTTTTCCTCCTATTTTGCCAACGTTACTGTAGATATTTTAGCCAAAGGCAAGAGAAAAGAACTGCTTTCTTCTTCTGTAGAAATTTATCTCCCCCCCCCTCCCCCCTTCTGCTTAGCACCAAGAGTACCTCACACAAAAACAATAACTGGAACTCAAGGACTTACCAGAACAAGAGTTTCCAATAATCTGTTGTCAGTGTTTTCAGACACCACATCTGTGAGCCGCCTAGACATTTCTTTGACCACACTTTACTACAACCTCCAGACTTTCTCCAAAAAGGAATTTGTCCATCACCTTCAGCAGATTCTGGCTGTATCAGACCCTGAGTTGTAGGATCTCCCAAGCACACACACGCTCAGTGATGCTCACGAGATCAGCAGTCCATGCACACACCTCATGATGAACCTTGATGTACCACTGACTGTGAAGGAAGTGCCTGGTGTGGCTTTGCAGTGTCTCTTGCAAACCCCAGCTGTGTGGCTCTTGAGAAGGATGCTGGGTGTCCTACATGGCATGGATGAAGGGAGAAGATCTGGATGGGGATAGCATCAACCTCATATAGAGGCTGCTGGCCAATTGGTGCACTGAGAACATCAGTAAGAGAAAACCAGTGATCGCAGCTCCAGGTCCCAAAAACCTGAATAGGATAAAGAAATCACTCCAGAATACATCTCTTCACATTACAGAAGCAATTTCTGTTGCCTGCATTGCACTCCTGCCTACATCAGCAGCTCTGCTGTTCTGCCACAGAGCAACTGGAGAAAATTGCCAGGTTATAATCAAGATATTTTTCATGCGACTCCAATCACTAAATAGATCTGAAGGTCATGGGGTTGTTTTCCCCCCTCCTCCTCTTTGTAAAATCCATTTTGATACAGATCAATATCTGTGAAGATTGAAGGAGAAAACAAGCTTTGGGAAGCAACCCCCACTCTTCAGAAGCAGTGCAAGAATGCTCCTCCCCAGCAGTATGTTATTAGGAAACAAAGTTATCATTGCAGGCCAGGGCTGACTTCCCTTCTAAAGACATCTCTTCCCTTTCAGCAACTCATTTCTTCTCACTACAGCAAGAGGGTGAGCGGTGAATAAAGCTCAGCACCTGGCACATCCAATTCATACATTCCAAAGGGATTTTCCCCTTGCACAGTGCAGGACTGAGCTTCCACCCCTCCCCAGCTGGATTAGGCTGCCTTCTGATAATTGGAAATCTTGAAAGTGAAAGGAATGGGAAAAGTTCTTGCTTTCTTTTTTTCCTTCATCAAGTCTCCTGTCTTACAGTGAAGAGCCTGTTTAAGATTTACTCTTCGAAAGCCATCACACAGCAGATGAAATTCCCAGACTCTGCTCACAGTTCAGCTCTTTTTATCTCCCTTCTTTGTACCGGGCAGTGCTCAGAGCCTCCCCACATCCCTGTGCTTTTCCCAGGCCCCAGCACAAGCTCGTGGAAAGCTCTGCAGCTGGAGGAGAGCCTAAGCACTACACAGGAGTAGGAAAACATGTTTGGTGAAGGTGTCCTTTTTCTCTTGGCAAGCCCCCAGCCTGTCATAGCTGCTGCTTTGATATTTCAGAGAAAGCAACTTTGTACCCTCTTGGTACCTTAGAAGCATGCAGAAAATTGATCCATAAAAACTGCTTCAGTTCTTTTCTAAGCTGTCCCATTCCTATCTCAAACACTGTATCGATACCCATCGCACAGCATCTCTCTCAAAGACCATCTCCAGCCATTCCAACCTCACTTCATTAGGAAGAAAGGAAGTAAATAAGCTCTCAGGCAGCCCCAGCAGCTCCTGCCCTGCAGTGAGAGATGAATTGCATCGTTGCCTTTTATGACTAATGCAGAGTAATCACACGAAGACTTTACAAAGTGCCATACATCTTCAAACAGCTTCACGTCCATTAGCTAAATAGCACTGCTCAGTGCAAGCAAGCAATCATGCAAGAGGGGATAACAGTGCAGATCAGGGGGAGGGAAACAGATAACTGAAGCTATGAGGGAGTTTCATTCCCTTTTCCCAGCACTGTGTCAAATCTTTGTGTACATATAAAACGAGAACAGCCGCCGTTCTTTGCAGCAGCACAAGTGGGAGCAGACAGGACCAGTTCACCACCAGCACAGCGAGAAATGAGCGCAGCCACGAGCTACGGGCTCTGGAAACGAAGCTCCTGCACCCTCTGCTGGGAGCGGCCCGTGGGCGCACAGGCTGCCCAGACGCTGGAAGTTCGTGGAAAAGCACTTATTATATACCACGACAATACACCAACTTGCCACGGAATTCACATCTGTGAGGCTGAAGGCAGCGGTTTGCCGCAGCAAAACCAAGCGTGGCGTTCACCTGGGGGTGAGGATACAGGACTGCAGCTGCCTGCTGCCTTCCCTGAAAAGCACTGAGAAGGGAGCTTTGAATAACACTTCCAATACTACCAATTAATGACAGGATGAAACAGAAGTGCTATTCTTCTCCAGCTTTCACTCTCAGTTTGAAGAGCAAGAGGCCAGAGGATGCTAGTAGCCAAGTCTTGGGTGGCTTCCCACTCCTTCAGTTACAAGAAAACATTTTGCCCCGTGTAGGAAACCACTCTCTATGCATGTTTTTAATATATGCCCGGAATGCTGTTACAGCTCTGCAAAACAACAGAGAAGCTGGGAGACCTTTTAGATCTGAGCCCAGACTTTCCCCACACAGAAATGGAAGGGACAAAGCAGCGCAGCTTCAAGTCGTGTGCTGCTAAAAGGTTCTTCCCCGGGAATCCCTGCCAACTCCACTGCGTTTGTCCAGTTAGCACTTAATTACCATTACTGAGCAGTGGTCAGCGGATCTTAGGATCCTGAGGGACCCAGAAGCTCAGCGGGAAAAACCAGCAAATTAGTCCGCTCCCAATTAGGCGAAGAGCTCCGCTGCTTAATCCGAACAACCCGGAGGGATTCCCCGAGGAAATCCACGCTGCCCGCTCACCGCAGAGCACTAATGTAATTTTTTCCGGCTGTTAAAATAAACAAGCAAAGAGGCTCATTAGCGACACTTCATCACGTTGTCAGCCCCTGGAAGCAGAGAGGCTCCGCTCCAGCAGCAGAGCGCTGCAGTGGGCTCGTTCTGCCATCTAGGGTCCACACAGGGCACGGAAACTGCAGCCTAGAGCACACAGCGAACGCGTGCGATAAATGCAACGTGCACAGTACACGCATGCATGCGGCAGCGCAATGCTCAGAGATGAGTTAATGCAGGTGGGCTTCGAGCTGTGCTGCTGCTTGACCTGCTGGCACCATCGGTTCCATCGGTACAGGAGCTATTTCATCTATAGCAGCTTTTTATCTGTTATCTCAAAGAACAACTTACCTCCGTGTGCTTGCTCTGACAAAGCCCCATTTGTGCATGGCACGGAGCTGGGGCTGCTCCACCGAGCCTTGGTGGATGTTGTTAATTGTTTAACGGCTTTTAATTAAAGCTGCTCTAATTGATTTATATTCACTGACTCCTTCGTGCTCTGATTTTAGTACGAGCTTCAGCTGAGTCAGAAAAAAAAAAAAAATCACCACTCAGTGTATTTAACACTTGACTTCTAAAAAAGAAATCAAGACTTGAGATGTAGGAACTGTGTTTGTGCCTCAGCAGGGACAGCCAGCCCACAAAACATTGCCTTTGTGATGAAAAATGCAATCGAAGAGATACCTGAGAATATGAAACAAGTGCTGGGCCAACAGGAGACTCTCAGCACTGCTGTGGGAGAGGGGCACAAAGGAAGTGGAAGTATTCCTTCTCAGCTGTGGCACTGAATAGTCAGGGCGATGAAGTGTGTCAGTGCAGCCAAGGCTTTTATTCACTGCAACATCAGGAAAGGTGCCATTAAGGGCCTGCACCCAGCCTTCTGTGCAGAATGGGGCTGACTCAGCTGACAGATCCAAAGGGGGAAGGGATGGGGCGTCTGCTTGTTTTCTTTAACATCTAAATTTGTGGATTTGAAATACAACCTTGCTGTTTTTCAGTTGCAGCCTCCCATTTGGAGTCTATCAAGGGCAAGGAGAGAAAAAATCACTCGTGTTTTGTGTGAAAAATCACATGTTCTGCTATCCCCCGAATCCCTTATTCATGCCAAGTTACATTATCCTTTTAAATGTGTCCCTTGTGCTCTTCCTAATGCTCTGGTGTCTGTCTTTCTGTTTAGCTATGCATTATTAACTTGCTTATAGTACAGCGCAGGTAAAAGAAAACAGCAACTGCCTTTGCTCAGAAGGTTTCTGTTTCCGGAGAGACACTTTATCTCCAAAACCACCATTATGTTATTATTGATGGCAAAGGAGATTGCTGCCAAGAAGTCAATAGAGGGAAGTTGTGCTCCAGAGCAGCGGTGGAACAGCATTAAAGGGATGAGAGACTTCATTCATGGCTCTGCTGCTGAGTTACTGCACAGTTTTGGAGAGGAAAATGGAGTCTATTAGTAGTACTACTGTTTCTGCCTGGGCTGGAAATTGAAGTGCTGGACTCAGGTGTGTTAGTGGGATCAAAGCCTGGAGCTTCTCCTCGGGCAGAGAAACTGCAGGTGTCTTCAGCTGCCTGCCCAGAATTAGAACTGACATCTTACATTGAGTGCTTGTGAAGACTTGTGCTTACCCAGCGAGCAAGGAGGTAAATCTGTCTTTAATTGTCAAGGACAGCGTATGGTTTAATTAGTCAGTGAATGAGGCACTGAGATACCGGCATTGGGATCCTGTTAGGAACAGAGCTTAAACCTTGCTGGAGTTTATGGCGGTGAGCTCATCCTGCAGAGGTTCACACCCTGTCACTACATATACATCTCCAACCCCAAATAATCATGCTTCATTAGGAAAACAGCTTTTACTTAACTTCTTAAAACAGCTGCTTTTGGAGTCAGTGGGCTGTAAACACACGTAGGTGTGCTGCTGGGCTACCTCAATGCCTTTGTGTTTTTGGAGCTGTGAGAAGACCATGCACGTGTGTTCATACAACTGCCAGAATGATTGCAGTCCTAAGGATGGGAGCACACACCACAGGCAGGCTTCTGCCCAGTGCATGTGATGCTATGGGTCCTCCTTGGTAATTTAAAGGGAATACACAGCCCATTGGCACTTGTAATTTGTGCAAGCATGCAATAAGCATGTTGCATTTGCATCACAAAGGGCTTTTATTTACTGCATTAGCAAAAAGCCTGGCATTAAGCCTATTCGGATGGCAGGGGAATGTGATCTAGGAGGCTGGGAATTTTCCTGTTTATCTCACCAGCAAAAAGCATAACGAGATAAAATATAACGATGTTATTTAAGTACACCTTAATTTGCCACATCCATCTGGGAAAGGCTCACACCTGGGCTCCTGTAATAGCTTCTGGGAGGATGGGCAGTGCTGGAGGCTCACAGCCAAGTCATCTGCTGTGCCCAAAAGGAGCCACTCCTCCTGCTGAGCTCATGTCACAGCCTTGTCCCATGACGCTTACTAAAATCCAAGGACTCAATTCTCACTGTTTATCTCTTTGGAAAAACCATCCATGTGGAGGGATGGGTTTTGCTTTTCTCTTTATTCTTGCAACATGAAACTGCTGTTTCATCGCTCAGCCTTGCTACGGAAAATAGCATCAGTCCATTCACTTTAATCCTCGAGAGTGCTCTCCAAAATCCAGCATGTGCTTTCTTAATTTAGGACTGACGCCTGGTAAGCAAGATAATGCGTGGGACAGATAAAGGTGCAGTTCCTTGGCTCTGAGCCTGCTTTGATGACACCAGCCTCTATGTGAGCACGGTGATAAGAAGCTGGCATGGGGGCAAACAGCTGCAGGAACCATCCTTTATCTGTCAGGACGTGGCTGATGCCAGACTATAAGAAAATCAATATATTCCAAGGACTCCAAATGGATGCTGTCCTTGCAACTAAGGGCTCTTGAGATTTCTGAGCTTGAGTTGAGACGTCAGAAAGAAGTTAGAAACCAGAGGAGGAGGTGTGAAGGTTTGATGCCAGGCCCCTCAGCCACCATCTCACACCTCCTCAGCACATCCCATATTAAGCACGTCCCCAGAGCACTAAGAAATGATCAGAAACAAAGAAACAAAGTACACACAAGAAGTGCAAAGAAAAATAAATGTGTATTTCATCTCATGAAGGTTAAATCTCTGGTAATTTTACTGAATGCAAATTTTCCATTCTGATGCTTCGAGGCTTAAATTAATGAGTGTGATTATTTAATTTTCCTCTATTTTCCTTCTGATTGCAACCATCGCTGCTGATTCTAATATCACACATAGACAGTTTTGCAGCTGTCACAGTCATTCATGTGAAGGTACACCCTGTGTCATGCTCAATGCTAAAAGCCTGGGCTACGTTGCTCTTCTGCAGTGCTAATGTGAAACCATCTGTGTCTGTGTCATTCTGCTCCTTAGAAAACTACAGGTCGTTCCCTTGGCATCTGTCCCTAGAAAATGTACATTGCACAAAGTCATGGTGGAAATGTACAGTGGAAATTACACATTCACCAAAAAAAAAAAAAAAAAAAAAAAAAAAAAAAAAGTCCCATTGCTATATTACAAGAGAAAGTGTGTACCATTCAATTACATACAAAACGTTCGAAAGTTGTACAGAAGTACCAAAGGCATTATGAGAGATTCTTTGGAGATGAAACGAAAGTGCAAAAAAGCCAAGGCAACAGAGCAAATGAAAGGAAGCAAAGCAGCAGCTGCCTTTGCTTTCTAAAGGACAACCAAACTTCAGTGCTCAACGGAGCCTGAGATTTTGATGAGCTGCTGAGGTGAGTGCGTGCAGCACCTTCTCTCTGCATTGTGAGAGCAGCCCAGCACAACATCCACCTCTCTGCTCATCCTCAGGACAAGTGCACAAACCATTTCTGGCCCTGTTAAGGCCAAAGGAGCCAGATCCTGCTGTAAACTGTGATAGCTTCAAGGTATCTCAGGGAAATGGTGACATGTTCCAGCAGTGAGCGTACCTTTGGTGTGGGACCTTTAAATGGTTCTTACAGCTGATAATTTTGGAACTAGAGGTAAATTTCAGGCTCAAATAAAAATTTAGTTTTTTCATCCAGCAACGTTTAGCTGGAAAGGTTAGCTCTTCATGCTACATTGAACACTGAAGAATAAGTTCTATCCAATCTCTTATCTGTGAAAATATGGGCAAAATTAAATCCTATAGGGGAAATCGTTTAAGGTCATTGAAATCTCAGTATAGGGACAATTGGAGACTTAATTTTTGATAGGAATGCTATCAAAATAATCTCTTATTTTGGTTTTACCTACTTTCCTGCCACTAAAGAATTTCTTTTTCTCCCACGCATCTTAGATGCAGATGTTTCTGCCTTAAAGCTTCTATGTGCATGTGTCTGCATACACACAGTACAGCAAGACGTGCATGTGTGCAAACAACACACACCAGCTGCAGCCAAAGTCGTGTTGTCCTTTTATCTCGCAGGTCATGACAGACTGTGAACCTCATTCAATCTGTACAGAATTTACAGTTCAGGTGAACAGCAGTGAAGAGTACCTAGAAATACAGCAGTGAAGTGTTCTAGAGCTGTTTGGTTTCGTTCTGCTGTCTTTAAGTAACATTGCAGAAAAAAATCTCCCTTCGTTTGGTTTCCTGGTAAAATCTGGTTAAAGAAGCATTTGAATGCACTGTATTTTCTAACAAAACAGGATCTTTGTTTTCCCCTTGTCCCACTTCTGTTGAGACACACCACTAACCAGACAGGTAACACTCTGATCTATTATGTGTAAGGACAGCTATCAGCCAAGTGCATGTGATGTGCAATCTGTGTGCAGTACATGTGGGTACTGTGCCAAATTGACACGAAGCAAGATAAATTTCATACATACAATGGCTATACTGGAGAAGGAGTACAGTTTTAGTTTAGGCATTAGTTTAGGCATTGCTGTGGAAGAGCAGTAGCACCCACCTATACAAATTACTGATAAAAGAATAAAACATTTATGAGAATAATTTATTGAATCTCCTAAAGCATTTGATATACCACGCAGCAACTGCAATTATGCTTAAAATCTGCTCTTGATTGAAAATAACAAAATCCCTGTAATTATCAGCTGTACCTTGTTTTGCCCCCGGCATCCTGAAAGTCTCAGGTTTTCTACAAAGGTGTCATTTTTTGGGGAGAAAAAAAAAAATCTTAATTTGAATTTTAGGGTTTGGAGTCAGGTAGTGGGGAAGAGTAACCAACACAGAATGGTCCATGTCCCACCCACAAACAGGAGCAGCTTCAGCTCTAGGGGAGATGCTGGACCAGCATGGATCATCAGGCAGGACAGAAGAGATCTGTCACCAGCACTGATGAGTTTTCCATCAGCAAGAACTGAACTCAATGTCTACAAAGATGCTAGAGGAACGAGCCCTCTATACTCACATCTGTAATAAATCCCTTTCAGGAGCATCACTGCACGTGTGAAATACTGGGTGATGCTCACTGTGACGGTCAGATTCAAGAGGTTACAGTGAAACGCCGCTCCTGCCTTAATGGAAGGTGTTCACAGCACGCTGAAATACAGCAGCATTGTCTCATCTTGGCTTGCAAGGTTTGTGCCAAGCTTTCCTTGTGCAAAGTGGGAAGGAGGAAGTGATTCCTCAGGTCTGCACTCAGCAGTATCACATGGAGCTGAAATCCCAGGGCAGGCTTCACCGGCAGCATGACATTCAGCCTTGGTTTTGGGCCAGAACCATCCCAACTGGAGAGCTTAGCATGGCTTCTACCTGAAATCACTAACCCTGCCCTAGAATTATAGGCATAGCTGCAGGTGAAATCTAGCCCGAGCTTGGCACTGAGTTTTGGAAAACTTTGTAGATGCAGTTAGCTCAAGTTTCTCAGGAATAGGCAAACAGATGCTGCTTGAACAATTCATCCGAGGCTGTATTTGCAGAAACGAGGAGAGAGGAAGAAGCTTCAAGCTTCCCCAGCAGCTTTGGAAATAGCACAGCTTGGACTAGCTGCTTTCAGAGTCTCCCTGTTACCAAGCTGGAAGCTGGCATGCAAAGCCACATATGCACACTGCTGAAGGGGGCTGGGGAAAGCAGTTCTTGCTTCAGGGAGCAAAAGCATCAACAACTGTTGGAGTCTGTGAGCTCTTCTCTGAGACCTTCCATTTGGTACAAAAACCAGACCTCAACCCCCATCCCTATTTCCCCACAGTCAGCTCTAAACAAGGGGACAAATCCTCACAGGGTGCTGCACGAATGGGCAAAGCAGACCCCGTCCATCCATCCCTGCACTGGAGGCTCCAGTAGAACAAACCACGGATGTGCAGAGGCCATGGAAGCTCAACAAGGAAGCAAATAAATGACCAAGAAAAAGCAAAACAGTCGTGCTAACAGGACATAAAGGCTCTCTGGGGCATCTAGAGATGCCAGGCCAAAAGAAAGTCTCAGAGCAGAGTTCTGGCACTGCACATTCACTTGTATGTGGTCTGGACAAGGAATGCAAAGACACAATGGCAAACTTGATAGCAGCAGCATCACAAGAGATACATGAGACTTCAAACACCAGCAATGTGGGCAAATCCTGAAGGCCTTGTGAGTCTGCTATCATGGCAGGTGATAGCAGTGGCAAAACTTTTATGGTGATATGAAGGCAGCTCAGTGCCCCTCCAAAAGGAGAGTAAGAAATGCTTATGTGAAATATCAATATGGCACAGCTGCAGGGTTCCCAGGATCCCCAAGTGCTGCCAATGAAATCTCCAAAGAGGTTTTCCAAAGTGTGGGAGTTGTATTCCCCTCTGCCCCTTGGGCTTGGCTGCAGGCACAACACACTGTACGCCAGAGAGCCTTATAGGAATGAGAAATATGGCAAGTCCCACACATGTGGGATCAAATGGCATCTCTTAAATGAAGGTCAGGACTCTGCCCTTGGCAATGCCTGCCCTGCTCTGCCTGCTCCTCCACGCTCTCAGGAAGAGCTATCTGGGATGCTCTTCTTCAGAGGCATTTGGGTGGAAAGGAGCTTGTTATGCCCAGCCAATAAAATTCACATATTTTTCCTTATTTTCTCCCCATATACACATTTCAATGGCCCACAGGTTACAAACGTGTGTTTTTTACCCCTTATTAACAAGTAGAAGTGGTGTTTGTGCATGCCGTATCGGAGGGATGAGGCAATGATCAGTCGCAGCATGAAAGACACTTGGTATATCAGTGTTACCTACAGAAGCACCGCAGCACCCTACATGATGGGTCTCTGGGAGGATGGCCTCTCCCCAGAAAGACACTTTTAGCTACGTCACCCTCCTCCAGGTACTACAGCAATCTGGGAGTGCAGATACAGCTGGAGCGTATTGCTGTCTACTCATCTCAGGCTGCATGCAGTAGCAGGCAAAATTGAGACTACAGTCAGTGAGATAGGCTGGAAAGCACATTCATACATTAAAAAGGACCCGGCTGCTCCTCCTGCAGCTGCCGTTCCTTGGGGCTGCCTAAATTACAAGCGTGATTAATACGGTATCAAAACGTGTGTAGTCCCTCTCCCTCTAGACACTAATATAAGGCAAGCAGTATTGTGTCACTGGGGCATCAAACACTAAAGGTATACTAAAGAAGATTCCTATGTATTACTATTATCATATTATTATTTAAAAAAACCCTATTGTTATTGTTAAAAAAAAAAAAAAAAAAGACACCAACCAACCAACCCACAGCCCTTGCCCTAAGCAGCTTTTGCGCTGTGAGACAGAAAGGTTTGTGTGCTGAAAGCAAAACTTTGCTTTTACACCCCAGGGCCACATCCTTCCACATCGCAGCCTCAATGTTACATGCAGGTGAAGGAGCTTTTGTATCTGATTTCCTTGTTCCTCATACATGGAAAGGAAGCTGATCAAAACAGAAAGGGACAAGGGTGTGCAGTTGTGGCTCGGAGCACTGCTGGCACAGGAGCAGTGCCTGGGGAGGAAGGGATGGGGGGCTTGGTGGCTCTCCCAACCTGAAGTCTTGCATGAGTGTGGATGGAGAAACAGAAAGACTTACTCTATTCCTGGGCTTTTTAACATTCCCAATGTAATTCTCAGTGCTACGGGCCTTTGTATGGGATAACTCGTATATATTCCTTAGGAATTTCTTATAAGGGGAGTCCTGAGGCAAGCCAGTATCATCTTCTGGTCTTCAATAAGATGAATTTTTCACGAGGCCATAGCAGCTGCTATTCAGGCAAGAGGAAGACCTTCTGGTTGAGAAACAAGAAAACCCCACCTCAGTGCTACCATCTGAGTGCCCACCAGCGAGGTGTCTGAACCTCACCCCACGCTTCCTCCCCTGGCCTTGGCAGGACTGAAACTTCAGTTTCTCTTTTAACGCTTTCATTTTGTGTAATAATGTTGTTGTGACCACAATGGTCTGAGGACATAAAGGAAATGAGGCTTGCAGTAGCTCCCTCCTGAGAAAAGAAGGAAGAAATACGTCTTTCCTTTCTCTTGGGTAACAGTAAGGAAGGGGAGCACTTGTACCTGCAGCAATGCTCTGGCTTTTCAGGTAGATTATACAAACTTGTTCTAAAAATTCAATTTAAAATCTTAAAAATCAATTAAAAATGTAAAAATATACCTATTTATCTGTAAAGAGCAATGGCCCCGCAGAATTTGTTTGGATCTATTAAGCAGCATTTGAAACAAAACACATTTTTAGAAAACCTGATCTATCGCATAGTCTGACTAAAGAACTGTAATGGCTTTCTGAGCTGAACAGGATTTGTTTTATTTTTTCAGTGAGTTCCTTGATATTCTTGTTCTAAAAATTATTAATAAGAAAATGAGTCAACAAGGAAATTCACATACAAAATCTGCACTGGAGTAACATTAAAGTCTCTTCCCAAATGTTGGGAAATGCGACTTATGGCTAGTGCTCTGTTCTTATGTCTCAGGGTCACGTTAGGAAAGGCCACCTGCATGGAGCTTGCAGCATCTCCGGCCACATCTCTTGTCACAGATATCTCAGGCAACCTGACCTCCCTCTTGGCAGGGACTGTGTCAGGAATTACCCCATCCCACAGCTGGAGTCATCTGTAGAATTTGCATCCACGTGGGCACGGGTAGCTCTGGAGCAGTTCAAGATAGCCTGCTGGAAATTGGGCCTTCAAGTGCTCCTAAGCTCTCCTGTGTTCACACTTGGCACAGCCTGAAGCTTCTTTCAGTCCTTTGGGGTCTGACAAAAAATAAGAAACCAAACACAGGAGGAACGGGGGAGCAAAGACAGCCCAAGAGAGGCTCAGCAAAAGGACAAAGTTGGCCTGCACATCTTTGTAAGAGTCTTTATCACTGGGACTGCCTTATGAGCAAAGTAAAACCAATTCATTTCTTTTAACCTGGTGGTTAAGACTTCTGGGGAGAGATTATCACAAGGAGCGTGTGATACGAGCATGGGGAAATCGAGGGACTGAAAGTGAAGGCTTTGCAAGGAGCTTTGCTGATAAAGAACGAAGCCTTTAGTTAGAGCAGGCTCTGTTCCCATTCACACAGCCATGAATCATTTCTTTGAAATAAGAGCATTATTTGGAATCAATTCTGGCATAAGTTAACCCAAAAATCCAGGTCAAGCCTTTTTGGCGGGATGAACAAGAAGTGCTGATTTATGGGATGGCTGTGGTCAAAGGGGTCAGAAGTTCTTTGAAATGATGCTATGGATCAGAATGCAACATTGCTCATCTTTTCCAAACAATTCTTGACAAAATTTGTAGCAGTAAGATACGATCTATGCTGTACAGACATAAAACTTGTTTTCTGTGACTGGGGGACAGAAGTAAAACATTTTAAAGCTACAAGTCAGGAAATCTTTATAGACTTTGGTCTAAGGAGGGGAACACAATTCTTCCTATTGCAGTCCCTAAGGAGGTAAAGGACTAAAATGTGGCAAACTTACAGTGGACACAGTGGAACTATTTCTGCTCAGGACACACTGGCATTACCTGTGTTAGAGGGTATAACATCAGCTGAGCAAGAGAAAGGGGTTTGGCACTGAGAACTGGGAAATGCACATTCAAATCAGAGCCAACAGAGCTTCAAATTTAGGACATGACGAAAATTACATTCCACTTAAATTGTGCCTTGAAGTACTATTGGCTTTGTCACCTACGTTTAAGACCAGGCAAGTATCTCTGCTGCAATAGGACCACACATCATCACCCTCATCCTTATCTGGAGCATTCTGTGCCAAATTTCCAGCAGGCCTCAAAAAGTAGTTGCCAAAAAAAAAAAAAAATTAATAATAATAATAATAATAAAGATTGCAAATGCTTATTACCTCTGATTTGGTGAAAATCTTGCTCTACCTGAAGGAATCTAACCATGCAACACAGCAGGGCCAAATCTGCACAATCTACAGCCATTTTACACTCATATTACTCCCCCACTCCATGTGGAGCCCTGCATGTTAGTCCGACCACTACCAAAGGGTGGCTTTTCCTCCTGTCTGTAAGCTCACAGATGCACCCACATCTTCCCAAAGGCCAAAACAGTTTGGGTCTCACCTGGCTGATGCCAAGAAAACGGGGAGAGGAAGCCATGACTCTCCCTTCAACCCCAAACAAGCCAATGTTCAACCTCTCAAAGGCCACGCAGAAATTAAGCTGTCACCTAAATATCCTCAGAAGCTGTTGGTACAACATGGGGAGACAGTGGAGAGATGGGATTTAAAATCAGATACAGCCCTGCCTATTGCAAAAAACACAAAGAGGATTTGGGCTGTAGGTACACAGGAGGCATCAGAGGCACAACACTGTTTGTCCTAGGCTTGGAGACGGATCCCAAAACACACTTTGATCCATTCTCTTGCAAAAAAATCTCTCTATCCATGTAAAAGATCACTTTGTGGCTTATTTTTTTTTGGTCCCAAAAGAAACACTGAGCATCACTTTTACCCTCACCTTCCCCCAGCTGAATACACTGCTGGAGTTCCTGATAGCAACACGATGATCCTTCCAAGACAAACAGGAACAACAAAATGGGACAGACTTGGATTGGCACAGCTTGTGAGCACACACAGTCAAGAGGCTTCTGAAAGTTAATGAAGAAACAAAGAAGTACCTCTTAATTCAGCTCAAGAGATCCAAACAAGCCAATGGATGTCCAGAGAGCAGGGGTGTGAGATTCTTGCCAGGGCAGAAGAAGAAAGGGAGGAATTTCATGGGGCATAGTGTGTGCAAAAGTGTTCAGGCACAATGCAAACTGTAAGAAAAGGGCCTGCTCTGACCAACGGGAATCCAAAAGGATGGAGCTCAGCACTTAGCTTGCAGCAGTGCAGGAACTGCAGCATCTTGCATATCTCCCTTTGGACTGCTGTTGCTGTGACTCCACAACAGCCCTGCTGGCCGTAAGAAGAGTTTTACACCATGGCAGCCCTACAGAGGGGTTGCCTTTGGTTTGCCTTTGCTTTCAAAGCACCTCCAGGCCATGTCAATGGAAGGAGAGAGATAAATTAAAGGTAATACATGGTTTAAAATATAAAATTCCAGCCACACAGTCACTTGTGTTTCTCATTTCCTAAGCTGTTGGACAAGGAGAATTTCTAAACCATGCTGGCTCAGAGCATTCCCCTAACCTGTCACACTTGAAAGCCACAACTTCTGTTCATGCAAATATTCTATCCAGTGTCCCACGCCTCCAGGGACATGTACAAAATTTCCATGTATTATTTTGGAACTCTCCCATCTTCCTGATTGTTAATGACGAACCACAGAGTAATATCGCTCCAGCAATTTTCACGCGACCTGAAATCTAAGCTAGAAACTGACACGTGTTCATTCTGTGACTCCAAAATACTGAAAGGTGTAATCACCAGTGCCACGGTACGGCAACTGCCACGCGACACTGCTCACTACCACTTGATGTGACCTCCAAAAGCCCTGGCTGGGTGATTTATTCCTGCCCCACATCTCTGAACATTCCCAAGAAATGCAAATTGCCTATCCTGCACCATGAAAGAATTTCACCTAAGGATCTTAGAAAGAGAGTATGAAAGAAATCCGGACTTCACGGCTCCAGTTCGCTCACCACCGTGACCTCTTCCACTCCCGCAGGCTTGTGCCTGCTCATTGCCCCCCAGAGTAAGCTGCAAGAAAGCATCCGGCAGCTAAGGATGTCCTAGATGGAGGAAACCCTTAGCTGTCCATCTCCTTGAGAAGTTCGACACGAGGACAGCTGGAGCGGGCAGCTGCCGGGACTCGGCCATGGCTTGAGGCTGCTCGGGGCCCTCACTGCCGGGGGGCTGACCAGCCCATGTCACTGAAGGGTCCCTCACCCGTGGCCGACCTGGGAGGAGGGCCACAGGGCGTGCAGAGGTCAGAATCGGTGTCCGATTCCCCTTCCGCAATGTAGGGTCTGATTTTGGCCACGGCTGCATAGCAACCGTTGTTAAGGATGTCCAAATTCTCTTTGGACTGGGAAATACTAAAGCCGCTGAAAGAGCGCTCCAGTTCCTCGTGGTCTACCGAGGGGATGGAGATGGACGTGTCGCTGTCTCTCAGGGCACTCTCATGGTGTTTGGTGGTAATGTCTTCATTCCGCAGGTACTCCGCGCTCGCCCTGTGCCCGCTGCTGTAGGCTGACAGGGAGCGCTCGTGGGAGGGCGGAGGTGGGATGCGGACGAGCGAGCCGGGGTCTCCGACAGGTGAGGAGCCGTGGCTCTGCCGCTGGTAGGGCTGCTGCTGGCACGATGTTGAGGGTGGGCAAGAGTTGGTCGGGGCCGGCGGAGCTGAGAAGTTCTTCTGACCCATGGAGCTGGTGGACCGGATGATCTTGATGATGCAGCCGTTCTTGTCGATGTGCTCCCTGCTGTCCTCGGGGCTGTGGTAGGGAGGGGCTGGGTCTGGTTCTTTGGACCCGAAGTAGGCCTCCGTCTCTGTCGGTGGGATGCCCATTCTCTGCATGTAAATGTTCACCAGGAAGTCCAGCTTCTTCTCCATCGACTGAACCTGCAAAACACCACAGTTCCAGCACTACATCCCGAGCTTCCAGACCACCAAGACACAAACGTGGGCCTGGACTTTACTGCCTACACCAACCTACGCCAAAGTGGAACTTGCAGTACGTATTTGTTATATTCTGAAACAACCTTTAATTCTTCTCCTCATTAGCAGGTCTCCATAATCTCCCGATCAACCTGTCGTGCATCAAATTCCAGGAAAACTGGAGGACACTTGAATCCTTTCAACATCTTTCAGTTCCTTGCTGCTTCTGGCCCTTCCCTGGGCTCAGGTGCTCAGTGGGATTTCTGGGTCCCACTCTCTGGGAGGATTTCCATGTTCAGCAAGGCTGGCAGCTGCAGCAGCCAGGCTCATGGGCTCGTCTGAAACACGTCTAACAGAGTGGCACCGTGCCATCTTCAAAAATAGACTTCTGGTAGACTCATCAGAAAAGAAACAGAAAGCCTGTAAGAAACAGACTTCCAAGTGCCTGAACCTGTTCTGAGGCTCTGAAGACATTTCACGCCCTTTCATAAAATCCATCGTTTCCTTTGCAAAATATTATTTGCTCTTAATTTTGCTTCCAAATGATTATATCCAACTGGAATCAAACAAACAAACAAACAAACCCAACCCCAAGCAACACCACAATGCAGGTAATACCCACGGACAGGAATCCCTCACACCCCAACATACCTGTTTTTCAACTTTCCCAAGCCTGCCCATCATGCTGGGGTCTTCAGGCAGCTCCCCCTCGGCTGGGCCTTTGGTCCGATCCTTGTCGGTCATGGAGGATCCTCTCCCAACGATCTGGTCAACTCTACCAGGATCAGAAAATCCCCCCATCCCCGGAAAAGGACTGGAGTCAGTCAGGTGAGGGGGCTTTGCTCATCGCGCCTCTGGGGGATAAAGCAGCCTCTCTCCCCACTAGCACTCCAAATTACTCACAGACACGCAGTGGCACTGAAGTGTTAATTCAGATGCAAAATTCAGAGCAGTATTAGCAGAGTTTGAAATTATCCGTTTCTGTTTATACAGATAAAATCTGGCACATTATGCACAGTAAATTTACCCGCTGCAAAGGATCGCTGTAACTGGCTTTCTTCCAAATCAATTAGCTTTTTTATTTGCACTGAGGCTGTATTATTTTGGGGGAAGATCAAGTTTTCTGTCTAGCATATGTTGGTGGGATTTTTTTTTCAGTCTTTGCAGAAGTCTTTTCTCCTCGATGCAAATGTAGGCGTGTAAATCTCACGTCCGTGAAAACGAGCCCCTTGCCCTCAGATCCAAACAAATAGCTGGGGTGCTGTTTTAGTGGAATTATGCTGAATTTGGTCATAACTCACCAAGCAATACCAAATTGCCTCCATCTCAGTGCTCTCTGCAGCTCTCACCTGTATCATTAGATGTTTTCTATTAGCAGGGCTCCATGCTGTTAACATCAGAGGACGTTCTGGCCGTATGTGCAGCTAAAGCTACTGGGCACACTGGTGACAAGTTATTTACACACGTTACATTTGCACTTCCTCCTTCCCAGTCCAAAAATAACTGGGTTCATAAACACATCAGAAAAGAGGAGGGCAGAACCAATTTGGAAGCTGGAAGTCAATTATTTGATCCCTCCAAAGCCAGGGGAGCAATGCAGTTTTGGAATAGGTTCTTAATGGCAGACCGGTTCATAACCCAATTCTACGCCAGGCAAACTTTACTTTTGCATAATGCACCAAAAGTAAGGGTGGCAAAGGAAAAGAAGGGTTAATTAATCTGACTGAAATCAAGTTGAGGTATCTTGAGTGGAAAACTCAAAATGCTTCTTACGCAGTTCTGCTGTGTGGGCCATGGGTCCATGCACCAGGAGGAGGAAAAGGAAGGAGCTGAACACAGACAGACAGGGGAAAATGAACAAACAAAAAACAAGGAAAGGAATGAGATGTGAGGCTATTTCCAACACAAGAGCCATCTGTTTTCTTCACACGTGACAGGGACTTAGTATGTATGTTAACTGTTGACATAAAGGGACAGATATCAGTGGGTATAGACCAACGCAGCTCCCTTGGGTTATATCAAAGCGACAGCAGTTTGTAGCACCAGAAGATCTGGCTCAAAGGGATGAAGTGGGTGAGCACATCACACCAAAGACAGAAAATACAAGCCAACCATTGTTTTGGAGTTTATCTTTGATCCCAGAACATACTTCATTTGGGCAAGGATGCGACAAAATACCATTCAATTTAAAAAGTCATGTTTGATCCTTTGCTTAGAAACAGGAGTGCAAGGAGCACCAAGTGCTGTAATTACAAGTGTGAGGAATATGCATGCCTTATTTCTCTCTTGTAATGGGAGAAGCAAATTATTGACATGTACAGGAACTCCCCACAAGGGATGCAATTACTGACATGACATACAGCACAAGAAATCCTACAACAATGTTGCTACCATGTAAGCAAAGAGGTATTAAATCAGATACCTCAGGCTACCTTGGTTTGGAATCACAAGTCAAGGCGTAGTACAGCCACTGTACGAACTCCTCTCCTGTATGCACAAGCAAGTAAACTAGTAAAGCAATGAACATGCATTTCAAGAGGCTCAAAGCCTAATTGCTACCGAATACTGGGGAAGGCCAAGAAAAAACAGGGTTCTCTACCACATCTAGCACAATGCTAACACCAAAATGTGTGTACTAGTGAAAATGAGATGTCCTTCAACAGTTGTGGAGTAGAGCAGGGAGGCAGGACAGTAACAGAGAGAAAAACCAAACACTGCCATGTTACTGTACATTGTAATAGCAGAGAGAGTCTCTTGCAACCTTATTTCTAATTTTGCAGAATTTGAGGAAGGACTTCTGCTTTCTTCCACATCTTTAAAAGAAAAGCTATCCAGTAAGTGAGCCTCACAGGACCCATGGGAAGCACAGGTTGGGTGTACTTCACAGATGGAGTGATCAACCACCCCACACAGAGAAGCTGACTTCTTCCACCATCGTCAGGCGAGATACAACTTCCTATAGACCTGCTGTGATTTATAAGCAGAGCTTCACAGAGCTCATCCATAAGGCATTCAGAAGCCCTTGCCCATATATCCTTGATAGCAGAGCCTGACAGAACCCCTGTCAGGATCATTCCCTTCCCAGCTATGCCAGGATCCAGCCTTGACATCTTCTGCAGCCCTGAGAAACCAGAGCCTGATGTCACCTTGGTCTCACGGACTTTGGGATGCTGGCAGCTGTGGGACACTGGCTTCAGTGCAGAAGAAGGTGAAGCAAGCCCTTCTCTTGGTGCCTGGGTAGGAGAAACCAGGCTCAAGATCTCTCATTCCTTTGCCCTCATGGCAGAAGCAAGAAACCTGTGGAGAGTGCTCCTACCCTCAGCAAAACATGGAGTTTTCCTTCTGCCTTGTCTGATAAAAGAGGAATTTCCTCTTGAGAACCCAACAGTGCCAAGGCAGTCTCACCTGAGCCATCAGCAAAGGGCCCTTTTAGCCACTCTGAAAGAGTTTGTCTTATCTAAACTGGGCAACAAAGCTCAAAAGATGAAGAATGGATACATTTCACCTTTGCAAGCGGTGAGGAATAGTGTATATTCTTATGGCGTGACAATAAGAGATGCCAAATCCCCCTTCTGCACTACGTCTCATGGGCAGCCTTGTGCATTCCCAACTTTAACTTGGCTGTGCTGAAGACACGTGTGCAGAGGGAAGCCTTCAGCTGGGGCTTCAGAAGAGGCAGACCCACACTGTTCCCTTCACAGCAGAAGACAATTCCAAGATTTCTAGCGATGCACGACAAGCTGTGCCATCTGCTGCCTGCAACACACTCTGCTGGGTCTTAGTTCGGGAGGGGGAGAGAAGGGCAGTTGCTCTTTGAAGTGAACTTTGATATCTTTCCTTCTTTCTCATGATATAAAAAAAATGTAAATTCTTGCATCAGCCACAGTGCAGGTTTTCTCATGCTTCATTACGCTTCCATGCTGACAGTACATGCAAAGAGGTGTAATATGTCACCCTCGGGCCAGAAGCAGACATCAAAAGGTCAAACGGCTCAAATGAGATAAAAATGAAGTGTTTGGGAATATATATTCAATTACTTTCTGTTTTCTTTATCTGTTTTAATTAATTTTTTTTTAACACAATCCAGGCATTGAAGCCAAACCCCCTTCATCCATGTCACGTGACTGCTCCTTACCTCCCCATTTTTCAATCAAGTTTGCTCTAGACGTATTTTGACCAATATTCTGTTGCCCTATGAATTCCAACTGAACTGCAACTATTTCAGAACAGGTCTACGTTAAATCAGCCACTGGGAGGAATTAAACCCAATTCTCTGCATGGGCAACATTTGGCTAAAACAGGGATGTGCTGAAAAGGAAGAGCAACAGCTAAGCCTGACCCAGAGTTTGGACCTCCCCCACTTGTGCCCATCTATGTGCAGGGCATCTGTTTCCATGTGGAAATCTTGCCTGGCCCTTCAAGGCTGGCAGCATCTAAAAGGTAAATGGAGCAAAATCCAGTTGAATCCCTATTTTTTAATTTCATATCAAAACGTTGGTCCAGATAAAAGATTTATTTTGTTTTGAAAGATTAGTTTGGGCCTCATCATTTGAGGGAGGGAGAATTGGGGAAAAAATGCTTTTCTGAAAGCATCATTTTTATTTTTATTTTTTTCCCAAGCATGAATTTTGGGGCTTCTGAAAAATTCTCAACTTATTTTATTTAATCTTTGAACCTGCTGAGCGGGAAAGGTAAGCTTTCAGTATTCTCTTTACTCACATCCTGCTAGTGAAGATTACTCAGAGCAGCTTAAATAAAATTCAAGAGATTTGTCATGTATTAGCACTTCAGGAGGGCAAGTATATTTAGAAAAAAATACTTGAGGCTTAGCTCGCTGTGCTTGAAAATCACCTACTGTTTGCACATGGAAAATGGCTTTCTAGCAAACATTTCTACCTGCCTTGGGCTCTAGAGGTCTCAATACATGGTGAAAACGCAGATATCTGCTGCCCTGACATGAGAATGCCCCAAAATGAGAGGCTTGGTGGAAAGATGGTCCTCACAGCATCAGCTATGAGCATAGCTCTAACTAATGTGAGAACTTAATAAGGGCAACAAGAAAGTATTTCACTGAGTGGCTATAGTGACTCTTTTTGCAGGCCAGAGCAGGACCTTTTTCTGAATGAGAGTCTTATGGTGGTAACATTGCAACAGAACTTTCACCTCCATGGTCAGTAGAGCTGCATCAGCAAAAAGAGATCGCTCAGCATGAAACGCTTCATTCTTAATTTGCCCACCAAGATCAACTCATTTCACAGTCCAAAGGGCCGCAAACAGAGGCTCCTCCGCTTGTGTGGGGTGTTTGATCTTTCTGAAAGTAGATGGTTTGGGTTGCACTGGCTTTGTGGGTAAATATTCCACCTGTTACATTTGAAAATAGTCTGATAAAATATGAGATTTAAAAAAGCTAAATTTCAGCACCACCTTGGAGAATCATCATAGAATCACAGAATGGCCAGGGTTGGAAGGGACCTCAAGGATGATGAATCTCCAACCCCCTGCCACACGCAGGGCCACCAACCTCCTCATTTCACACCAGCCCAGGCTGCCCAGGGCCCCATCCAACCTGGCCTTGAACACCTCCAGGCACGGGGCATCCACAGCTTCTCTGGGCAGCTGTTCCAGCACCTCACCACTCTCATGGTAAAGAATTTTCCCCAGACATCCAACCTAAATCTTCCCTCCCTCAACTTAAAGCCATTTCCCCCTTGTCCTCCCATTATCTACTTGTAAAGAGTTGACTCCCTGCCTGTTTATAGGCTCCCTCTAGGTACTGGAAGGCTGCAATGAGGTCACCCTGCAGCCTTCTTTTCTCCAGGCTGAACAAGCCCAGCTCCCTCAGCCTGTCTTCATAGGGGAGGTTCTCCAGATCATCTTTGTGGCCCTCCTCTGGACCCTCTCTAACAGCTCCCTGTCTTTCTTGTACTGGGAGAAGACTGACAATAGACTAGCTGAAGAAACTGATGGTTATCAATGATGGTAGGAATGTCCTTTTTTTTTTTTCCTTTGGCTTGCCAAGTGTGAAAGCTCATTACTGCAAGTAAATCAGATCATACCCAGAGTAGCAAGCCATTCTGAGTCACGATTTAGCAAGCTGCTAAGTGATAAATGCCGTCATATAACTGGCATGAAAGGGGTTTGACATTAAGCAAATGAAAAATCCAGAGAAAGCGGCATTTTGGTGAATCCTAACCTAGGCGAGTATTGGGGAGATTCTTTGGAAGAATACATGGGTCCTTTGGTTGGATACTTCTTATGCCGGGGAGTTGAAGGGGGCGGGGGACCCACAATCATATCTATCCTGGCAAAGTAAATAAGAAAAAAGACACCAGCAAAATGCATAATGAAGCAACACGTAGAAAAAAGTTGGTCAGAAAGTTGCAGAAAGAAACAACTGAAAAACAGAACAATAGAAAGAGAGAGAAATTGAAAATATATTCCGCTAGAAACAGAAGTTTCTCTCCTACCGCCTGGTTGTCGGTGAAACCTTACCCACCCTGGGGTAAGATTTGGAGATTTTGGCACCACTGCTGTTTAGGAGAATAACCCCCACCCCCCAGCCACCCCAGATTTAACAGATAACATGCTTTACCCTCTGGAATATATTTGCAGCACTATTCCATCGAGACGGTTGGACATGAAACAACATACATTCATTCTCCTTTCAGTTACACTGCCAGATGATGCACCCTCAGCTAGCTCAGAAATACACGAGCTGTTGGAGTCAGTGAGATACACTGTGGGACTGTGGAACTCAATGAATGGGGGACATCCGTGGTTGGCAAGGGATGAGACACGAGACAGCATGAACACAACATTGAAAAGAGCACGTTACAGACACTACACAGTGACAGAGACATTTGTGATTAAAGAGGAAAGTGCAGGTAAACCCCCCAGAGAAGTGCCTGAATGTGCTTTAATCCCCAGCCCTGGCTGTGGGACAACACAGACAGACCCATGGAGCTGAGCAGGCAGGACAGCACAGCATTTTGCAGGACAGGAGAACAAAAATATAAGTTCTCCAAGCCAACCCAGGACAGCCTCACTGGGCTCCACCTACATTGCATTCCTAGCTCCAGCTTACGTCCCAGCATTGGCCATGGCAACCAAGGCACATGCCCTGGCTACGGGGCGTCCCTTCCAGTTGGACTGGGCAGGTCATAGATAGGGCATCTCTTGGTGTCCTAAGGGGCTCTGCTGCCATCTCTATCACTGATCTAGTTGGTGGGGACAGGGAAACCAGTGAAGCTACTCATCAGAAGTAGATCCCAAATCCAGATTCTTCACACGTGGCTTTAAAGAAGATTCTGGTCCTCCTGACTTCCCTGCAGTGGGGTGGATGGCAGTCCTAGGGACTGCAGCCTCACTGTCCCACTAGTGCAGTTAAGGGGACAATTCAGTTTCATCTTTAAAAGCTTCAGTTCCTTATCTCATACTCCCTAAAAAACAACCAACCAACAACTTTATCTTGGCAGCACATCGGGGAATGCCAACAGGACTGGTAGGGACAGATGGCACTGTTCTGGGGGCTGAGCACTCAGGTGTCCCACCTGGAGCCAGTAGAGATGCCAACCCAATGGCTCACCCCCCACTGCAGAGGCAGCCCGGAGGTTTCATGTTCCAGCTTATGCAGATTGGGAAATATCAATCCCTTCCTCCTCCTCTTCCCCCTCCAGATTCAGCTGTGCATCTCAGATTCATAATCACTGAATTTGTACTGAGTGGGGGTGAGAGGCTCAGAGAGAGGAAATTCTCTGGGATATTTTAGTTTTAACTGCAAGGGAGAAATTACCTTCTGACAGTAGAGCTGGAAATAGGAAATGCACAGCATGCAGCAACACTGAGAAAGTTAACTCCACTGTGTGAGCATCAGAAATAGCAGAGTTAAAGGGTCTTTGAGAGATTAGGATGAGAAAGATTCCTGTTTTACATAAGACAGATTTCCTATTTCATTCCTGCATACATTATCTAAAAACTTTTTTTTTTTTTTTTGCAGATTTTCATTACCAAAATGGGCTGGAAATTAAAGGAAAATTTCCCCAAGTGGCTTCCAGCAGAAGCTGGGCTGCTACAGTCAACAAGGGAAACACTTTCATTATCCAACTGTTAAAATAAATGGTAAATGACTCTGACCACAGACAGCCCAAGGCCAAACCCAGCCTCCTGCTCTGGGTGTCCTTGTGTTCAGCAGAGCTGTGACCACTTCTGCTGAGCCAACAGAGCTGCCTGGGATAGGGGTCTGATCATTGGCCTGGGGCACAGGGGCCATGGAAGGCTCAAATGGATGAAACTCCTAAAGAAATACCTGCAGGGAGGTGAGCTGTAGATGACATGGATTTTGTGTGTGGGGAAAGAGAGAAATCTAATTCAGAGCTGTCAAAGCTGTCCTGAGGTGGACAAGAGGCAGATTTAATGGCACAACCCCAGTGCTTGCTCTGCATGTGCTCCATCCTGATCATCCCCATGGGTCCCAGCCATATGCAACGATGCTTCCTCTGAACTTTCTCTTAAGGAGGAAAAAGATTAAGGTGTAGCTGCAAGGGAAAGTGTCTCACGTGGCAACATCTGTGTGATGAACAAAAAGCAGGGGCAAAGTGAAGCAAGCAGAGGAGTCTCTTGCCTGGATTGGAGGTTTTTAATCCGGGAGAGCATGTCCAGGTGGCCAGCTGAGTACTGCTCAATGACGTCCATCACGTCGTAGGGCCGAAGGCTCTCCTTAAACTTGCGTTTGGAGACGAGAAATCGCATAATGCTGCAAGAGAGGGAAGGAAAAATAAAGTCCTTGACTTGCCTGGTGGCATCTAAAACCCATAGGGAGCTGAAAGGGAACCGTAGCAAATCCAAACTCCGTGCCCAACATGGCAATAGGAGAAGGAAAGGGGCTGGTGGGGGCTTGCAGCTGAAGTCCTGTAAGCACCAGGGGATACTGATGACCTCTGGACTATCAGCTGGGCACGTCTCCGCTCCACGCTGCTTTTATAAATGTCAGCATTAAATCTCAGAGCGAGTGAGAGCAACTGTTTGGATGCATCCCTGCAGGGGATTTTCCTGTTTCTGCATTTTTAACTTCCCTCAGCAAAAATTCCCTTCCTGACAGAATTTTCTGTGAAGGAGGGCAGGCCACCCATGGGAAAAGCAGCCTGCAACACAGGCATTCCAGCATTTGCTTGGATTTTGTATTTCATTTTATTCTATCACTTATGTTTCCAAACCTCTTTCCCCTTCTCCCTCTCTTACCACACTGCCCTGATGCTGACTTTCAGTCCTGGTGTTAAATCTTCCGTCACAAACTCACAGTTGCAGCTTTTATTCTCATCGGGAATGTCTTCTCCAGGCAGGCTTGCTTCTGCGTTGGGAAAAGCAGGAATTGAAAGCAGTGTGTTAGCATTCTCCAGCCAGGCCAGGCAGGGAAAAGACCACTAAAATCAAGTCCAACTGTTGACCCATTTCCACCAAGTGCCACATCTCCATGTTTCCTGAACACTTCCAGGAATGGTGACCCCACCACCTCCTTGTGCAGCTGTGCCACTGCATCACCACACTTTTGGAGAAGAAATTTTTCCAAATACCCAACCTGGCCCTCCCCTGGTGCAACTTAAGTCCATCACCTCTAGTTCTGTTGCTGTTACCTAGGAGCAGAGGCCGAACCCCAACCTCCTTTCAGTCACTGTAGGGAGCTATGAGGTCTCCCTAAGCCTCTTCTTCTCCAGACTGAACCATCCCAGTTCTCTCAGCCCATTGATCCACTGTGTCCAGATCCCTCTGTAGGGCCTTCCTACCCTCATACAGTTCAACATTCCCTCCCAACTCAATGTCATCTGCAAGCCTACTGAGGGTGCATTCAATCCCCTCATTCAAATCATCAATAAAGATTAATTAAACCATAGCTGGGCCCAATACCAACCCCTGGGAACACCACTAGCGTCAGGTCACCAGCTGGACTTAACTCTGTTCGCCACCAAATAGGTCTGCTTAACAGGATTGCTTAACCTGGGGTGGAAAAGGAGAGGGATGGGGTTTAGGGGTCCCACAAGCACCCCAAAGCCACACCTTCGGAGTTCTGCCGCGATGCAGCTCCCTTGATGCGGAAAGCCTGCCGGGCTCTGCTGCGGTCTCCAAAACTCCAGCTCTTGGGCACCTTGCTGGGGCTGTCCTCGATGCTCTGGTCAGCACTGGGGGACCTCCGGATGCCCTGAGCCTGTGGAGAGCCTTTCCCTTTGGTGCCAGCACCGCGGGGACTGGAGAAGACACGATCTTTCAAACTGACCTTCTGACTGTTCAGAGAAACACGTTGAAACAAAGACAAAAAGGAGACAGCAGGAGGAGTCATTCTGGAAACCACGCAGTCCTTCCCCACCAGCCATTAGAAACCAAGAGCACTTCCAAGCAGCAGTGAGATGTAGTTTTGCTGTTGGCTTTTTAAAAAATATATATCTTTATTTCGTTATTGCTTTTTTTTTTTTTTTTGGTTAATAAAGCATTGTAGAAATGTTTCCGCTGTAATGAGTGAAATGGGAATGATTTTTAAGAGAGAAAAAATAATGTGGACTTAAACAGAAGCCCCTCGTGGGATGCCAGGGCTGGCGGGACAGAATGACGTTAATGATGAGGTCATGAGTCCTTAAATCACTGATCGGCTCCGATCATGAGCGAGGAAGCTTTTCTTTCACGACTGCCTTTCAAAGCCCTACATCCAGTAAGAGAATACCAAGAAAAAAGCCTTGGCCTTCAGTTGTTTAACTTCACTTAGAAACACTTCATTCCTGGTGCTCAGACCTGCCCCTCCTCCTTCACTAGACTCTGTCTTTCCCCCTTCCAAAAACAGAAGGTGGCCCTTCTATATCTTACAAAGAGTTCATCTTTGCCCAGTCACATATGTAAATACTGAAACATGCAAGTCCTTTATATCCTATGAAGATTCAATCTGCAAGCTAACTATGACCTAGCTACAGGTCTGCTACAGTCACCATCACCAGGAAAACACAACCTCAAAATATGGCACTTAACTGCTGTTCTTCTATCAGAGTCCCATTCTGTTAACAAAGCAAAAAGATCACTCTGGAAGAAGAGATGATCTCACCCAGAAGCAGTCTGCTGAGCCAGCTTTCATTATTTTACACATTCTGAGATCGGTAATTAAAAGCTTCCATCCAAATGAAGAGGAAAAAAATTCTCACACCAAGACTTCAAACCAAAAAGTGAGGATGAATCCTTATGAAAAGGCTTAGAGACAGCCTTGGGGGAGCCAAACTGCAAACAGTTTGGGATGATTTGATATTCTCTGAATAGCAATTGCTTATTCAAGTATACAAATAGAGGTCAGACAACCAGTGCAAGGCATTTGTGCATGGAGCTCATATTTCATAAAGAAGCAGTGCAAAACTGAATAAAACCAAGGACAGCTTTTCCAATACTCTGTACCATTGCAGCAGCCACTTATTGTGCTGCAAACGCTCAGCCTCCGTTTGCAGGCAGAACACTGCTGGAATTTTGATTTTCACACTGGTTTCTAGGGCACCAACCAAAGGTCTGTTTTTCTCCTGTCTCTCCACAGCACCACCTTGAAATTCAGAAGCAAACAGCCCTACTTTGCCTTCACACCTAGCATGAGGCCCTTTAACCAGAGGTTCTATAACCAGAACTTGGCTACTGATGTTTGAAGCAAAGCAAACCCCAGCTCCCTCCCCAGCTGCAGCACAAGACACGTGGCTTTGTCAGAAGAGGAAGATGTGATTTCAAGACACGCAGGGAGCAGATTTGTTGAATAAGAAGGTGCTATTTTTACAAAATCACTTCACATTGTGAGACATGGAACACAGACCTGAGCAGAAAGGTGCTCGGGCAGCAGTGCCCTGTGCAGGATGTGGCTGCAATCGCAGGTTGAGAGATGCAAACAAAACACGTTCGTGTCAAGTTTCAAGTAGAAAAGGCAGGATTAACCCAATTAACGATTCATTTTTAATTCAGTGAAACTGCATAGACAGGTACAGGGGAATTCATATCCAGCGTGCAACCCACCAGCAAAGTGCACCTGAAAGCCAGGGGCCCACAGATGCTCAGTGCAGCTGAAAATCAGAGCTACAATCCCTCTGGGAGCAAACATGTGCCCCAACACCTTTCTGTTTGTAAGCCCAGATCCCTGATGCTACCGATATCATCGCACACAGCCAGATGTCAAAAGGCAATTCTGTGTTTTGTGCATGAGAAGCCAGATTGAAACGCTATTTGCCATTCGATCCTAAAAAGGCCAATTGGATTTTTGTTTCTGTATCGTGGTTGATTTTACAGACAAACGTCCCTGGGATCTACTGTGTTCCAGTAGTACCAATGCTTCAAACTACGTGGTCCTTTTTAAAAGAAGTTTTACACACATGAGTCAGAAAAGCACCAGCATTCAGCACTCAAAGCGCCTCACTGAGCCGAGCAGGGCCTCTGCTTTAGGGATCCTCTTCTATACCCATGAAACAACATGAATGATTCACTGAAGTCCTCCTTCTGCCATGCAGTTCCGTGACTGGAACAACCCCTGCCATCTGCATGCAGTCACAGTCTCTGCAGAGCAATAAGAGCCCAGGAGAAACACACCCACACAGAGAGCTGCGAGCTGCCAGCCGGCCCAACATCATCATCTTCAAGCAGAAAGTCATGCACAGTGACACAGTGTCCCAGAGAAGTGCTATTCAGGTGGAACTCAGGCAGATGGTAAATAGCTTCAGTTCAGTGGCCAACGTGACATGAACACGGGGAAGCAGGAATCCAGCCCTACACAACATGAATCAGAGCTTGCAGGGATATGTGAGCACACGGCACTGCTTGTTCCAGGGGGAAGGGAGAGAAAATTGTGGCTTTCTGATCAGGGATTGTGGAAAGCCACAACAGCAGCACAAGCTGTGCTTTAATTCCGGGATCTTCACAGTAACTTTAGGTTGGCATTCATTAAAAGCGTATTCAATGACCAAAAAAAACCAAAACATAAAAAGGTTCCTTTCTATCTTCAGGGAAGGTTTGCAAGACTTTCAGCTTTTGGCTTGAATTGAACAAAATATACAAACGGAATTGACTTTTTCTCTGCTGCCAGATAGAAAAATGAGAGTCCATGCTGGATGAACATGTAAGGACCTACCCCAGAGCCAGGACCCACCGCAGCCCCAGCAGACAACAGGAGGATGCTCACTGCTTTGACAGGCTTTGCATTTAGGCTCAGTTGTGTCCAACATCCTCAGCAAGAAAATGCGTGAGAAGTGACCTTCAGATGAGTTGCCATCCATCCTCCATAGGACGCTGGGGGCAGGAGCTCCTGCCCAAAACCCTCTGCTAGGGGGTTCAATCCACAGTCTTCTATGGTATTAAATCAGTAGCTTTCAAAATGTGGGTTATAACAATAGCAGTAATTTTGGATCAATGTAAATAATCACCTGTAACTTCTTGCCATTGACTTTAAGCTATCCCTGAGCAATTGTTTCATTCTCTTATTCCATTCTGTAGGCAGCAAACACTAGCCAAGCTGAGTTAGGATGCCGTGGGCTCAAATCCATCACTGCATACAAGCTCAACCAGTAACGGGTCTCATTCTCCTGAAGAAGCTATGGCCAGAAGAAAGAGGCCATCTCTTGCTGGGAAATGAGGCTGTTTGTCAACCCACAGCTGAGCTTGTGGTATCTGAAAAGAGTTTGTTAAAAGTAGGCAGCAGAGCCCAGAGTGAATGATAGCCTTTGTGGATCACGGGGGGCTCCAGCAAAGAACACATCTGTGTGTGCAATGCTTGAGCAGAAATACCACAGCAGCAGGCTCAAGCCTGATTCACACCCAGTGATTTCAGAAAAGCCTGGCAAAGGTGAATTCAGCTCCAAGAATGGAATTTCTAGAAGCAGAGCACAAAGAAAATTAAAAAATCAGCCCGTGACCAATGTCATGATGAGTAATAGAATAGAACAGAATCATTAAGGTTGGAAAAGACCTCTAAGGTCACCAACCATCCTCTTACCATCAATATTGCCCACTAAACCATGTTGCTAAGTACAACATCTGCCCTTTCCTAAGGGGCCTCCAAGGACAGTGACTCCGCCACTTCCTGCCACTCTTTCCGAGAAGAAATTCTTCCTAATAGCCAATTTAAACATCCTCTGGCACAACTTGAGGCCATTCCCTCTTGTCCTATCAAAAATAGGACTTAATCCCTCTTCTCTTCCTCATACAAAACCACAGTGTTAGACTCGGGTTGCAGGAGGTCACTGAAATGACAGCTGGAAAGGCTGGAACCACCACAAAGGGACATCAGCTCCAGCCACATGCCATTAACCTTGGTCTTTGGTATTCTGCAGCATCTGCTGTACTGTCACCCCTCTCTTTCTAAAACAAGAAGGATTTTTTCCCAAACTGATGCTGAGCACTGGCAAAAGTCAAACTGCTCATGTCCTGTGCCTTCCAACAATTTGCCAGCTCAGCTGCTTTGCATTTCAGGAGCAGCGCAAAACAGCTAGATTGCATCTTTGAACCTGGCTGATTACTTCTTATATAAGACTTTAAAAAAACACTGCACCAGACCCGCAGTCCAGTCAAGGGCTCTGCAGATTCCTTCCCTTTCCATCACTGCATTTATTGACTAAAGTCATTGGTTCAGCACATTACAATGCCCCTGCTCCTGAGGAGTTTTCTATTAATTTACCTACATTGAATTTCCCATGACTGCATCACCGTTGGCTGTTATTTTGTTATATGTATCTCAGGTTATGTCTCCTTAGCACTCAGCCTTAGATGCACTGAAGTGCTGTGCTGGTGCCTGCCCCTAGCAGTGTGCAGCCCCAGGGCTGAGCAATCCAGACATGAGAATTATTTTCACGTCCCTTCAGGGTTAACACATAGTCTTACTAAAGCACAGAGCGCACAATGTTATACTCAGGATGGATGCAGGCAGTGAAGATGCCCTTGTGGCTACTCCAAAATTCAAGAGTCCTTTGGGACTGGAAGAAGCACAGTCTGTAATCCCTCTCTGCAGGGTGTCCAATGGATTGAGAAGATCCTGAGGTAATAATTTGTTTCATCCTCCCTTTCCCTCGCAGAACTCAAGATGGGGGAGATGAAATGAGGACCACAGCAGGAAAGAATTCAGTAGAAAATGGAGAAAAAAACATATATTGGCTTTACCCATTCAAAATTCATGCCTAGAGAGACATGCAAGGAAGACATGAAGATCAGAGTGGCTGATTTTCCAGAAAACAGATTTGGACACAGACAGGTGAGAGGACAGCATTACGAACATCACTGCTTGTTTTAACCATTGCCAAAACCAACCTGAGCACTGAGCAATGGAAGGAGCCTTTCTCTAAGGGCAGTCCCTGCATTATGGTTTGTCCTTCAAGGATAAAGCAACCTTACCTGGCAAATGCAAGCAGCATGGAAGGTAGGGTACATTTTCCAGCTGGACTATTAAGCAAATCTTTGCCTGTTTGTGCATCTGATCATCACCCAGTGATTGAAACCAGTCTTTTCAAGGATAAGCTTCAAGGAGTGCTGAAGTACCAACCAAACACGTAGTGAGGCTAACTCAAAGATGCAGGCTATTTACCCAGGAACTGCTACCACGAAACTAAACCATGCCCCCTGACTCTTCATTACCCATTCAGAGATGGGATTTACCATGCTACTTTTGAGCTTCTGGTACACGCAAGGCTCGGGCACGTGCCTCACTTAGCTCTAGTCTGACACACAAGAACAGCCAGCAAGGAAAAAAAAAAAAACCAACAAAAAAAAACCAAAAACAGCAAGGGAAGGAAAAGATACAAGTTGGAACAATTAATGGAGAAAATCAGAGAGACATGTATTTTGGTTTTGTTTCTTTTAACTGTAGTTTGTCGGCTTTCTGAAGGAGACAGAGACTGGTGATTTTGAGAATTAAAACGGACTCCAGAAAAAAGCATGCAAAAATCCAGTTTCACAAACATGCTGCATCACTCAGTGCCACTCCTGGGCTTCCGTCTGCCTGGCCTGGGGGGGAAGAGCTGAGGGGGTTCCCCTGCCAGCATTCAAAGCATGCAAACTCTGGGCAATGGTAACTCAAGAAGGTGCACGCTTGTTGCCAAAAGCAGTGTCTGGGGCAGGGAGAGAGACTCCTCCAGTGCAGGTGTGAAAGTAGATCTATTTATACATAAGGAATATAATACAGATATCTGCGTGCCCTCACGGCCGTCAGATGGGTGCACTAAGGGATGCTCACTGGGAATTCTCTGAAGCCGCCTAGAAATTGTCAACTGGATGGAAACGATGAAATCACTGCTTGTATCAAACGCTCTGCTCTAGCTGTCTGTTCCCCACTGGATCGAGAAACCATTCACAAGGTCAACGTCAACACTAAGGAGAACCCGTATCCCTACATCTGGTGGGACAGGCTGAGATTAGTCCTCTAGCTGCGTAGTAGAGGTGCTAGATAGGCAAGCCATGGCTTCCAAAGGCCACATGACTAGGCAGGGTCAATTTGCAGTGTTCAGAAAGCCAAAGGAACGGTGATCAGCTGAAGGTGGGAAGCTGGTATTTCTCATGCTACTAACTTCATATTGCCGTTCAGTGCAATGTAATTTGCAAGGATTCTCTGGACCCTGAGGAGGGATGAAGTAGAGGGAGGAAGGGGTCTCAGCACTTTTTAAAATTATTTTTGTTGTTGTTGTTGTTAAACTTCAGTTCCTGGCTTCCTTCATTGCTGAGCAGCCGCTGGCTTGCTAGCCCCGACCAAATTCCCCATCCTCATCTCTTTTTGCTCTGCACAGTAAGCAGACAAGGAAGCCTCTGATTTCTGAGCAATGGGGAGGTTCCTCCACCTTATTTTACTCATCTAGTACCTCTATTAAGCAGAGAAGTGATCAGAACGGGTGGTAGCAGGGTAGAGGGAGAATGAGCCGTGCAGCTTTTGATTAGTTCCGTGCGACGCATTTCCCGTGGTACCTAGAGTTTCCTGAGCAGCATCCGCATAGTGACTCTCTGCACGGTTTGCTTTTACTGGAAATGAGGGGAGAGTAAAAATTAGACCTAGAAGCAAATGCCAGACAGGAAACTTTTGATTACTGACTCTGGGTTTAAAGACAGGTGATCTGAGGGCCAGGTCCATGACAGGATTGTTATGCTTGAGCATTACATTAAAAAAAGACATCAAGGGCATTTCTGAAATTTGTCTTGCTGAGGTCAATAAATGTCATTACCAGATGTGACACATTCTGCATTGAATTGGTGGCATCAGTTCATCTGCGACTGAACGAATCCTGCAGGAAGATCTTTTTCAACTGCATTGGAAACAAAAAGCACTTTCTTCTTCCTCTAAATAGATTTTTAAAAAATACCGTATTTTGATTATCTAAAGTAAGGAGAGCCAAAAATTTAAATGATTTCCCCCAGCAACATCTGAAAGGTTTGAATATATTAGTTTCTTTCTTTTTTTTTTTTTTGAAATATACATATATGTATCACCAAGAGCACTAATTAATCTGTGAATTATTTGCACTTCTCATACAGCTAATAGTATAAGCTTAAGCCTGGCATAAAAAAAAAATACACAGATTAAAACAGGGGGCAGTGCAGTCCCTTTTGGGAAAGCATCAGAACATCAGCGCTCAGCACTGAGTTTTGCCCACACCTTGGACATCCCCTATCACTTCTGGGGAGCTCCTGGCTCTGTGGACCCATCCCAGTGCCCACTGATCCCCCCCCTACTACCATAGGGGTATTCATGCCATGGAGCAGCCCTCTGCCTGCGGCAGGTTGACCAGGTGGCCCTGCCAAAGCTGATGTCCCAGCTGAGCTCATGGGCAGGCTGAGGGAGGGAAGGGCACAAAGCCCCACTCTCACATCAGCCTTGAGCTCAGCAGTGGGCACAGAAGGGACATGCAGGAATTCCTCCCGCATCCCGCGCGAGCTCAGCCCTCTCCTTGCTGAGGGCTCACAATAGGACCCCACGTCCCCAGGAGCTCACAATGGGTCAGCATGTCCCCATGGAGTGGTGGTGCCACCGGGGGCTGAGCATCGCGGCACGGCTGTGGGGCGCTGAGCATGCAGAGCCTCAGGGTCCCTATGGAAAGATGCGGTTCCTTCTGTGCAAATAATCCGCTCCCTGAAAGGCAACTGATTATTTTCAGATTACTGTCGATCCCAGCATGAGTCTCTGCCACCTGTTTAACAGGTTAAAGTCAGCAACCCTGGGCTGGCAAGAGCAGGGGTCCCCTGAGTCAACCAAAGGCATCCTCTAGTGCGTCCTAAAGCCTGAATCATAGCCCTGAGCAGAGCTATGGAAGTAGTGTGCATCTCAGACAGACACGTACATACACTGAGAAAGAGAGAGATACACACAGATATACATACACATTACAGAGTGGCCCAGTCCAGCGTTCACTCAATATGATGGCCAAGATCTTGCTGAGTTCATTGTGGCTGGGGATAAACCACCACTGAGGACAACCTTTGAAAGAGGTTCCTCTCATTGCCTACAGAACTTAACTCATGCTGGACAAAGTAATCTGACTTTAAGCTTCCCAGCTCCCAGGAATTTTTCTGTTTCTTTTTCTCTAATATTAACGGGTTATTATGATCATCCAGTTCATTCACCTTGAGTTTCCTGCCCAACAAATCTGGTCATAGATGCTTTCAGATCCAAATCATTTGGAGCACACCTCTTCCACAAAAGCCTCTGCAGCCTTGGCTAACCACCCGTCTTCCTTTTGAACATTACAGTCAGATGAGAAAATCAACACTGAATTTTCAACCCGACCACTCATGGCAGAGGAGCCATCAAATTCCTCCTTGCACGGCACTGGAGAGCTTGGATTTGTGACCCAGACCCTGTGGACTCAGAGATGCCGTTGGTGCAGAGCCCAGTGGAGGAGGCTCTGTCAGCAGTTTCTTTTATTTTTTTAAATGGAAGGAAAATAAAAATGGCAAAGAAGCCCATGGCATGTAGCAAAAGGCCAGAGCCTGTTCTGTTTCTGGCAGCCCAGCTCTGTGCCAAGGGAGCTGAGCTCCTGTCCCCTGCAGCAGGTCAGCATGTGGCTGCCCTGTGCTCATAGACAGATGCAGAAAAGCTCACAGTGGAGAACAAAACAGATGACAGAGAGAGATCATAACCTGTCTCCCTGATGGCTGTCCCACTGTACGCCAAGACCCAACCAAAGGCCACCAGAATGATTCCAGGCGACCCCAAGTCCCCCCCTCACTAACCTGCTCACATCCCCGCATCCCTCCAGCTCAGGCTGCCGCTCTCCCAGTGCCATCTCAACAGAAATCAGCAAAGCCACAGCAGTACTGGGGGCAGAGGGCAGAACTGTGAGACCCCAGGGACAGGCCAGTCCTGCACAGCACGTTCCCACAAGCTGGGCCAGCATCTCCACTCCAATTTCAAATGCTGGAAGATGCAACACAGCAGAAAAGCCATTTCTGTGCTACTTGCCGTAAGGATGTCCTGATATTCTATTGGTTATGGATATAGGAAATCAGCCACTCCTACAAAGAGCTGCAATAGGAAGAAGATCCAGCTGTGCCCAGATGGGAGACTGGACATTTTGTTACTTCGATGGAAATGGAAAGGGGAAAATGCTTCACTTGCCAAAGCAGTAACAGAGCAGTGCTGGGGTCTGCTAGGAGAAGTGACTCAGCCAGGGAGTTTTCAGTCATGATCACCAATGACAAAGCAGAGCTAGAGATACACCATTGGGTGGAATGGCAGAGGAGATGAGATTATTCCTGTAAGGACAGGATGACACACTAAGAATCAATGGGGCTGCTGGAAATCAAAGCAGGTGGGAGATTCGGGATGTTACTGTGAAAGCCCCAGGGACTTTTACTTGAGAAACAGCTGATTTGGGGTCCCCTGAATATAGGGACTTCTGTGCACCATGCCTTCCTGAGGTCTGAGACGTTTTTTGAAGGAAAAGCAGGAGCAGGGAGAAGTGATATTGTCCTAATAAAACTGAGATGGAAAGAACTTTGACTCCGCCCTGGCAGCTGAACTGAGCAATCTGCAAAGTCCTCTACTGTCACACATATGGCAACCACAGACCCTCAGCTTTAGCATGCCTGGGTTCAAGGTTTAGCATCTTCCATGGAAGAGCAGCATTGTTGCACAAAATGGACACTGGAGCAGGAAAACAGCATTTGGAAATGAGCCTGATGAAGGAGCCATATATAGTAAGAAATACTTTCAATAAGGACAATGAAAGGCTGTTTTTACTTCTTTCTGTGGCATAAGGTTAAGAAAGCATTGTAGAAATTGAACTGGAAAAAAACCTGCAACCTCTACGAAGAAAATATGCTATCATTTAACTTACTGTGCTAAGTGGTGAAAACGAGGGCTGCAAGAGGACAGATGCCTGCAGAAGGAAGACCAGTACCCAGGACCACATGAAGGACAGTGGTCCTCACAGTCCTCCAGCTATGGAGCTGCTGGGGTTGAGCAGGGATTTCCTGTGACAATGCAGTCCCTGATCCCAAGGGCAGGTGACCAAGATTTCAGCCTTGCTCTGCTCCCAGAGAGCATTTCCCTGCTTGAATCAAGTTGAATGGAGGCTGCCTTTGTTCTCACTACACCAACTGGGACCCTGAGTGGGAAAAGAGAAATTCTGGCTCGTTGAAACACGATCTTGGTGATTTGATTTATTTGGCAGGGAGTGGATGGAGTGCTATGGAGGTTCTGCTTGCAAAGAAAAAGCTCAAATGAAATACAGAAAAGAAAAAAAAAAGAGGAGCGGGGGGAATAAAGGAAGGATGAAATTTCTTTCCTTTAGTTGGCACTGTATCTGCACAGACATCTTTGGTTGGATTTTGTGCTAGGAGAAAATTAGTTTCTGGCCTCTGATAAGCTAAAAGGCACAGCAGAAAGTTTCATCTGCAAAATGCCAGGCTCTTGTCATACTACTAAAACGCATTTTCCAATATTTGCAATATTTAAGCTAAGTTTTGAGATATGGGATGGAAGACCTGAAAGCCAAGCAGATGATCTCCACAGATCATCAGTTTTGCATCTTGCTCCTTAAGAAAAAAATAAATAAATACGGAGATTCAGTCCCAAAATTACTTCTGTAAGAACCAGGAGAGAAAAAAAAAAAAAAAGAGGAAAAAATCCCAGAATTCAGTAGTTTGAGAAGGACGAAAAGTCTTCCCGAAGCATCCCAAACACCAGCCCTGCTGCTTTCCCTGGGACATATGAAGTGATAGAAACTTTCCTTCAGGTCAGATTTTTGGCTGGCCTTGGAAGGTGCTCACCACGTGCAGAGGGCACCCAGCGGAGCACGCTCTGCACGTGAAGGGAAGCAGGGCAGGGACTGGGCATCACTCAGAGAGCGAGGCAGGGCTGGGCTGTTTCTGCCATGCAGCTCAGTGCTGTGCCAGAGAGCCCCTCCATGCCTGGGAGATGCCACCTTGATGACGTGGCAATGGCTCTGTGCTCCAAGTCACCTCCACGTTGGATGGTGGTGGCACAGACAAAGCAACACCACCATTGGCACACCTCAAGCCCCTCTTACACCATTCCAGCTGCAACTCCAGCAACGAAAGGGGGAAAAAAAAAAAAGCAGCATCAACCAAAGCCCTGCTGTCACCCCAAATTAAGTCTGCAGCCCTACCGACTGCTGTCCCTCTGCCCTACAGCCTCACTATCCTCATAGCCACCCAGGCAGACTGCAAGGAGAGATGATTTAAGGTCCAGCATTACACGTAGATACATTGGACTGCCACAGCACAGAAAAAGCACGTTAATACCTAGGATGCTTCCCTCGATGGTGCCACGACATGGTACACATACATACACACACACACAGATCTACAGGTAATGCATGGGGATGGCGTGTTGGCAGTGATACAGACCTTGGCGATGGTTCGGGCTGCTGCTCTTTCCTTTAAACAGAAGCAATAGTACATTAGCATGGTGTCAGGTGGCAACAGATGTTGCTGCTTCACTGTTAAAACATAACGAAAAGACAATACCAAACAGTACAACTAAGTGGAAGTTGTGGACAGAAAAGAGGGAAAGGAGTACTTAATTCCTGGAGTTTCTGTCCTGGACAGGAGATCACTGGAGACTCACACAACCTCAGAGAAGACACATACAATGCACAGGGCTGTAAAACTGCTCCCAACCCATCCTCGTGCCTATGCATGACTCAGACACCCCAGGGCCGTGTGATGTGGGTGAGCAAAGGAGGACATCTGTGTGCTCAGAGAGCAGCTCCTTCCTTTGGAAAAGCATCTCCTCGAGTGATTTCTGCACATACGGATGGATTGGAGTGTCTGCTGTGAGCCTGGGGTACCTGCTTCTCCCTCCTGGCCAATGGGAAAAAACTGGGACTGAGGTACAGACTCCTGGCCCCAGGTCCTCCACCTCAGCCATCCTTTCTGTCATTGGCAAAGGCTCTGTGGAGGGAGTGGGGATCACAGTTCTTGCATGCAGTTTCCCACTGAGATCCCAAACCACTTGGCTGCACTGAAAAAACCATGGACCTTGAGGACAAAGTGAGGTGAACACCTGCAAAAGGATAGGGCACAACATCACAAGCCAACCTATGGCCACACTAAAAAAGTCTCCCTTTTACTGACCAACAGCTTGGTAGCATTTCCCTGCAGTACGAGGAAAACTTGTCCTGCATTCAGCTATTCACACCTTCTTTACACCAGGCTGAAAGAATGCAGCTCCAGAAGAGAGTGAGCAGGCAGTGAATGTCAGCAGTGTAAAGGTCTGCATCCCCTGGTTCCTTCCAAGCACCAGCTGGCTGCTGGGGGTGGGGGGCAAATTGGATTGAAGAGACTAAAAAAATGCCTTCATCCCCCTGCTCTGTGCTCAGCCCAGCCCCAGCCTCACACATTCACACTCAATCTGCAGTCTGACCCATCCATGGGTCTCCAGATCCCTGCACTCTGCAGGGTCACAGCCCAGGCAGGTGCTGTCCCACCCACCACTCACCAGCTCAGCATCTCTTCTCTATCCCCAAGGCTCTGCATTGCCCCTGTCACCAAATGGGGTGGCCTACCTTGCTTAAAATACATGAAACGATCCCTCCTGAGTGCAGACTGAAGCTGCAGGATGCCTGGCCTTCTGGGGCAATCGTTGCTATCTCACCAGAGCAAATTTAGCAGGCATGAAGTCGTGATTCTGACTAACTGATAGCCTCACCCAGAGGATAAGCAGAGCTGTGCTGAGCAGGATGGTTTCCAAACAGCAGGATGCTCACAGCAATGCTGCAAGTCTGACCCACCACTGCCACGTGCTGTGCTCCAGCTCAGCAGGATCTTTGATTTTTGTAACCTGTTTATGGAGCTACGGGAATCTGGGACACGGTGCTTCAGTCAGGGGAGAGAGACCAAGGGAATATCCTCTTGCTTTTTCTCACCACTAAATCCTGCCTGCTCTCAGGGAAAGATGGAGGGTAGGGAATGAATTAGCACATCGTGGGCATGAGAAATCTCCAAGGGCAGTGAGGAACAGGAAGGTCAGAGGCAAACTGAGAACACCACCTTGAGCTGATCCTCTAAAGTACCACTTTGCATTTCCAGCCAAGCGCTGTAACATTACTCCAGAGACAAATTAGGCTGAAGAAATGCATGGGCAGCGTGGAAGAGGGGTGGGAAGGAGATCGCTGAGCAACCCGTGGGGATCAGCTGCCAACACCTCTCACATCTTCAAGGTTGTCGACACGCAAAAGGCAGGAATGGGGGGGAAAAAAAAAACAAAACAAGAAAAAAAAAAATGCAGTGAAGAAGTGTGAGCTTTCCAAGCTCTCCTAACTCTCTGTTGCTAACCTGAATGTTAGTCCCGACTTGCTCTTCAGGTTCCTCAGGAGTTCCAGCTGGTTCAAAGGTGGGATGAGTCTACAGGGAGAGAAAAAAAGAGTATTAACATTTGGGCAGAGCTGACCCCAGAGCCTCCTCTCCTGGAAGCTTTGCCTGCTGTCCCCTCCTTTCACCACAGCTCAGTGCCACTGACCCATAATGACCCATAGCAGGGTGGTAGGAAGAGACTGGGACAGCAAGAGAGAGAGAAATTGTCTGCTTCACCACACTCCTGACCATCAGAGCCTGGCAGCATTTCTGGGCAGCATGGGAGTGTTGCAGCAGGTTTGCTGGGTGTCAGGTGCAGAGATGCTCCTGTGCTGGAGGCAAATGGGGAAACTCAACCCTGCTGCTCTCAGGATGTGTGAGGTGTATGCAGAGAGCAGCCTGTGGGGAAATTGAGGCAGTGATCCAGGAAAGGCAGAGCGCTACTGGGTGGAGATGCCCAGGTTCCCCACTGCCTGCAGATGATTTTGCCCCTAGAAGAGCCGTAGCCCTGTATGATGGCTTTCTGGATCAGGAAGGAACCAGGGCTTTCTTTCTCAGGCTCACCCTATGGCTTGCTGCAAGCTCTGTTCTGGGCCACCAGCACATGCTGCTGGATGGCTACATATCATGGCTGTGCTATAGGGTGCAAAGCAAACTCAGCAGCTGTCTCCAGTGCTTTCGACAAGGATGGGGCTACAGCCCGAAGAGGCACAGCTCCCAGGAGGAGCCTATTCATTCATACTGGGAAAGGAGCCACAGGGGCTTTGATGGAAGCAGAATCTGCTCAAACTGCCCCAACCTACAGCTGAAGACTGGAAGGAAAGGGGAAGGAATAGGGCTGTTGACAGATTTTAAGCCGTTAAGAGACCAATAGGTTCACAGTTTTCCTCTAACTGAAATAAAAAACAACAAGTGGAAAAGCCTTTCCTCCGCATGCTCAAATCCCACACTCAAAAACATGGCTGATCAGCAGAAGAGATTCAGCGCTCACAGAGCTGAGGCAATCAAAAAAAGTTCCAACCTTAAAGATGGAGGAAAGAGTAAAAACAGGGCTGAAAAATTTGGCTCTTCTCCGCAGTGCAGCTCTGCACACTTCCACCCAGAGGAGAGCACGTCCTGAGTAGGTGAATTAATGATCCTCCTCATTTCAGGTGTCAGGAGGAGGCTGGTCTTGGTGCATTGGAGCGGTGTGTAAGTGCTGTCACCTCCGTGCAAACCCACCACAACATTTGCAGATTGATGCCAAGACGGGAGAAGGAGGTGCATAAAAATCAAGCACAAAGCGTATTGCTAAATAAAAAATGTATTCAGCACTTAATGCTGAGTGCACAACTATTCTTCTTTAGAATCGTGGAATATCCCAAGTTGGAAGGGACCTATGAGGACCATCGAGTCCAACTCCTCCTCCTTTATGGAGTTCTCTGCTTCAAAGAGCTCCACAGGGCAACAACCCCAACTTCTCAAGCCAGGATCACAAATGCACGGCTCTGATGCAAGTCACAGAGCTGAAGACTTCATGAGCTCATCGAATGGAAGGATTTGAGGTCCCAGTTCACTGAACAGAAAGATTCAGGATCCCCCTTAACTAAATGGAGGGATTCAGGGTCTCAGGAGGACCCTTCCCCCTTGCATTAGCCCACAACCTGAGGTCTGCACTGTGCAGAATGTGACAACCTTGTGGGTCAGCAGAGATGCTTCCATGCAGAGGTGATGACATAAGCAACCACAGAGACTCACTGCTGCTGCAGTAGGTGTGGGCACGGTGCACACGTGGTGAAGAAAAGAATGCTGAGCTGAAAAGATGATTAACAAAAATGGGCACCAACTCAGTCCCATACAGACCCCAAATATGATCCAAACTGACTGCTCAGCCTAACCTGCCCTTACAAAAGCAGCCTGGGAAACTGCTCTGCATTGCATCACTTCACCAGAACCTCCAAGGGAAGCCTGCTGCCTCAGGGCTCTGTCTGCTTTTCTCTCTCTCCTCCAGGTCCTCCGTGTCACTTGGTTAACAAGGGAAGCGTGTTTTGGTGAAGGGGAGCTGGGTGAGGTCTGCACACCCCAGGAGCACACACAGCCCATACCACCACTGGAACACCCAGCTGCAAACCCATCACCTCCCAGGACCACACATAGAAACACCACACTGACTCCACTCCCCAAGCCAAAGGGAAGGTACAATTGTTTTTCCTGATAGCACAGACAACGTTCAAGCATTTGGGGACAGTGGGGACATCATGCCTCCAGCCAGAACCTCACTGAGACCCCACAACATGAGGAGGGAGGGCAGCAGCACACAGCAGAGCACAGGAGCACACACACAACACACACACAGATGGTGATGATTTGTTTGAACAGCTCCAGGATGAGCAATGAGGGAGGGGGTGATGAGGAGATGGATACCATGATGAGGACTAAAACGAGTCTCCATGCTGTGCTGCAGTTCTACAAGGAGCTTATCACACTCACCATGACTCTGTCTCCAGTTTAAGTCATTCTTCTATAACAGGGAATACTTATGAAATATGTTGTGATAAGAGCTGGAGTGGAAGCATTCTTATTTCACTTCCAGCAGTAGAAAAATACCCAGTTCTTAAAGCAGGCTGCTGTCCCACACAGCACTCAATGAGCACTCAATCACACAATTCCAATCACGGATGCAATTTGCTGTAAATTAACCACACAAAGTGGTAAGTGTGATTTAGTAAGGCAGCAAAACTCGCATCCATGAAAACTGGAACCAGGTTTGCAAATCGGGCACTAAATCACATCTGTGTTAATGCACCTAGTGAGGATTTAAACTGCTCTAAGAACAGAGCTTGGCCCACAGTCTCCAAACGTAAGCCATTAATTCCCCATCTTCAAATATTGACTTTAGTGCACCTTCAGGTACCCACCTCATATAAAATATGCCTATCATCTGAAAACCTGCTCTCTTCTGCAGAACCTGAGATAATATTGTTTGCAATAAATCTCACCCCAGCCACATACACGTCTGTTTGATTGGATTGAAAGGTCAGCTCTCAGAAGGAACAACTGGGACTAATAACTGCTTGGCTCCTGGTCAGTTACAGAAGGCAAAATAACCAAAACGTAATTATCCTGCTGAGATGGGACACTCCTTTTCCAAGCATCACACTGAATTACTGAGGGAAATCGTGAGCGATCACTTTGGCTTAGCACACTGCATTTGATATCCCATTCTCCTTTGAAAAACAGGCACAGCCACTGCTGCAATTTTATTCTGCACCACCACTGATGTGTCCCGTGGTGCCACCAACACCATTCACACCAGCAAGGGCAGCAGACTCAGAGATACCCGGGATGCACAGCTCCCACAGCACTGAGATAATACTGATGGATGGGAAAAGAGGGCTGGGGAAAGGGCAACAAACATGAGTGATGGGAGAGGAGAAATGGAAGCATGAGTGGGGAGTTGTATGATTTGGAGGAGGTTGATAAGACCATCAAGAAATTATCGTTAATAAAGCAAGCTTATCAAGCATTCTCCCATTCTCCTTCCTTAAATCATCATTTTGACACAGTTTCCCAACACTTGTACAAACCAATAGCTAAAACACATATGGAGGCACATGGAGTTAGTCAGCAGGCAGCGGGATGGGCGGTCTGGTTTGGGCTTTCACTCATTCTTTTGGAAAAAAAAAACTGACCTTCAGAGCTTTCTGGGTTTGTTTTTTTTTTTTTAGTTAAAGGCTTTGTATATTACAGTCCCAAACGAAGAACAAGGAGTGACATGACACACGGTTCAGAGTCACATGCATGTCATACCTGGAGGCACCGTACGTTTGCGTTTGCGTGCTTTTCAAGAGTTTTCACCAAAGAAAACCAAAGGGATAAGAGAAAGGAAAAAAAAAAAAAAAAAATGGAGGGAGGGAGAAAAGAAACAGAACAAAGAAAATTAGCACATGAACCAAGTGCACTCTGGGAGCAGGCGCGCTGGGACCAGGCTGTGGGTGAGCATCAGTGCAGGCTGAGCTCGCTCCCTGCTCCTCACATCACTGCCACCCATGAGACAGGCTGCTGGCACCTCGTTCCCAAAGCAAACGGGCACCACGGGGCAGGGAAAATGCAGGGAGATTCTGAGAGATCTTCAGTGAGGAATCCACAGCCCTCAGTGCTACCAGCCAGGGGCTCCTTGGACCAGGAGGATGGCTCCAAGGAGCTCCACTATCTACTGAAATGTGACATTTTTAGTGCAAATATATGAACATAGCTGAAAACAATATCCTGTTCTCTTGAGTGATAATAGAGTAATCTGGGGGGTTTTGTTGTTGTTTGGTTTTGGTTGTTGGGTTTTTTGTTGTTGTTGTTTTTTAATATTGGTTTCGTTTTTTATATAGGAGCCAAATGTACATTGCGGATTTGCTTTACCACATCTTGAATTTCAAAATCCAAGCTGAGATGCTCTCAGAGCCCACCCTATTTTCCCCAGCAGAGAGAAACCAGCTCTCCTGCAGTGCTCTGAGTGATGCTCTGGGCACACGCATGCTCCTCCAAGTCATGGCTACCAATTTTCCCCATCAAACAGCCCCTCTTTTCAAAGGTGCCTTGGGAAGAGACACAAGCTCAAGTCATGGGGCTCCTGCTAGGAGGAACAAGCAGCCCAATGTTGAACAGAAAAGGTGCTAAGGCAGCAGTGACTGCAGCTCACCTCTGGCAGAGGGGATGCTGTGTCCCCCTACCCAGTTCCCAACCACAGCCTGCAGCAAAGCTGCACGCAGCAACCAACACCATGGTGCTGGGCTCAGGGTGCAGCTGTTGGTGCACACCAGCTGGTTTGGAGAAGTGGGTAGGAAGGGTAGATGGGCAGAGTGAGAGATGGAAGCGGCAGCCAGAACATACAGTTATCCCCTTTTTAAATTAGGGGACAAGTATTTTGAGTGATTTCAGTTCAACACATCGAAACCAAACTCAAAAAGAAGTTCACCACTTGCTTGGTAAAAAACAAACAAAGAGCTGAAGCCATCAGGGGTCACCTCTCAGGTGATGGTCAGGTTACCTGTGCACAGACAGCAATTGGAGTTTTAGGGTGAAGCTGAGAGAGAAGAGAGCCCCATGCCCAAGGAAGTGCTGGATGCTCTCATCCTCGTGCCAAAGGGTGCCCCTGTATGTCTGGCTGCATGCTAAGTTTGGGATTTTCAAGAGCAGTACAACCACGGCCAAGCCCACTGAAGCCAATGTTGGCATTGTGTGCTTTGCAGAGGGCTTTGGGCCAGGTCCTGCTCCCCTCAGCAGCTGCTCCCAACCAACGCAGAGGTGGGACAGAGAGTTGGATGAGTGGGTTTTAATGCTATTGGGAAACAGTTTGGTTCTGTTTCACTGAGTTGTTGTTTTGTTTCTTTTTCTTAAAGCACGATCTTGATGTCAGTTCATAGATACCTTTAGGGAACAAACAACCAATCAGGCACACACTGGGAATGAATCCAACGACAACTTACTGACCATGACAACGTGAATTCCAACAGGCTTCTAAGATGGATTAACAGGCTGGCTAACACTTCAAACACGGACTAATGCCCGTCCTGGGAAATGCATTCGAATGGCTAAGAGGGACCAGTAACACAGAAAACACAGAGGGATTTTGCATCAGCATGGCACAACCCAGAGCTGGACAACAGCTCTGCACCACAAGGACTGGGAGCACAAGGAGCCCACCCCATCGTGCCCCAAAAAAACCTCACAAAGCTGCAGGAATATCCAACCAACACCATCCAGAGAGAGCTGGGCAGTCTCAAAACACACCAGAGAGAAATACACAGCACTGCCCAGGCAGGAAAAGGGAAGGGGAAGGAGAAAAGGAGAAAAGGGAAGAGGAAAAGGAAATTGGAACCAAGGCCAAATGCACCTGAGGACAGCGCCAGGGCAGCCCAGAGGGACAGAAGAGTGCTGAAAGGCAGAAGGACCATTAGAGCCTGGTGGAGCAGCATGAATTGCTGCACGCAGGGCAAGGCAGCATTTACCTAGGTCCGGGGCAGCTTGGAGTCTTCACACCTGGGCACGGCACTGTCACAACACAACGCAACTACCCCGGGCGTGGAGAAATAAAGGTGAAAAGAAGAGCACGTACATACACACAGAGATGAAAAGAAAAAAAAAAATAACAGGGAAATTAAAATTGAGGCCAAAAGAAACACAAAATGAAACATAGCAAAAAAAAAAAAACAAAAAAAAACAACAAATAAACCTTGAAAGAAAAGACATATTCTGGCTTTTAAGAGATGTGGAAATCACTTTTTTGTTTTTTTTTTCTTTTTTAAACTTAAACAAATAAAAAGTTTAAATGAATAACAACTGAAATGAACAATAAAACTCTACATCCAGGTAACAAACACGGAAACATTGGCACCACGAGGCAGGCAGCACAAGGAGGAAGTACCTGTACATGGGGACGGTGACGGTGCGCTCGTAGTACTGCCACGTGGAGTGCAGGTCTGTGCGGGACAGGTTGGTGGCATAGAACCTCCATGCAGCCTGGGAGGAGAAAGGGTGGGTTGAAGATACAGGCTGAGCTTCATAAACTTCTACCAACACCAATGCTCTGCTATCTGTGGGTCTGACTTTTTGCCTTCGCCTTGATATGTGACAGATTTGGGGCGCCACCATGATGCCACCGACCCATTTGGCGTGTGACACATTTGGGGTGCGACCATAGTGCCAACGATTTACTTGACATGTGACACATTTGGGGTGCTACCATCATGCCACCAATCCATCTAGCATGTGATACGTTTGGGGTGTGACCATAGTGCCAATGAGCCATTTGACACATGACACATTTGGGGTGCTACCACGATGCCACTGATCTAAAGATGCTGCAGGTACCAGGCACTCGCTGTCAGGAGCACTACTGCTGTGCATTGGGGAGCCACAAAATTTGGAGAGAAGGGAACAGAGGAGTGTAAAACCACTCTTCAAGCTATCCGCCAAGGCCAGCCTTCTGTGCAGACATCTGTTAGCATGAAGAAAACGCTCCCAATTGTAACTTGGTATCAGTATAAATATTCTCTTCAAAAAAAATATATAATTGGTGAAACAGACTGTCCCAGTGTATTTGTCTCACTGTGCTGGGCTCAGTTTCGTTCCTTTTCTCCCCCAAACTGCCTTTCACATATGCTGCATCCCTATGGCTGCCTTCCTGGCATTTGTTCCCAGAGAAGCCCAGCCACCAGCTGCTTTCTCACACTTCAAACATGCAGCTCTGTTTTTCTCCTCCCCTGCTCCTGGAAGTCCATTTAGACCTCAACATCAGGAGGATGCAGCCCTGAGGTTCCCAGATCCTAACCTGAATCAGGCCTGCTGCTGGGTTGCGTCTCTTCTCAAAGTGCTTTTGCCGATGCTGCTCCTGAACCTTCAGAGCAAAACCCGAACCTAAAATGCCCTGGGGAAAAGAATGAAATTGTGCAGTTAGCAGGTGTTAGACAAGCTTTAAGAGGCTGCAGCCAGCTTTCCTTCCAAAGCTTTGTTCTACCTCATTTTTGCTTCAAATGCATCAGGAAAGGAGCAAGGAGCCCTCAACCAAGGCAGTCCCAGATGTGGGCTTTGCTGGTGCTTGCTGCTTTGGTAAAAGCAGCTGATAAAATACAAAACATCCACATCACACAAGCATGCAGCAAATCATTCCTATGGGGGAAAAAATCAGACCCGTACAACAGTGCAATAGGGAGCAGGGTGATGTACTGAAATGGCACAGCCACCCCTAGGAACAGCAACAGGAATATGATTTCACTCCAATAAACATTTTCCATCTCATTTGTGAATAACTACACCCACATTTGCCATCCTGTTTGCTCATGTGCACCATGGCTGTCCACACAGGGTGGATTTTTTTTTTTTTTTTTTTTATTCAGAAGCAGCCACGCAGTTGAAGCCAGGAGTTCTTCAGGCACAAGAAGCCACAGGTTGGCCCTAAGGTAATGACTCAGCTCCCCCACTGCCCACCCAGCCCAGCCCACACTCACGGCAGGGAGAGCAAAGAAGGAAACACCAATGAGTGTGAAGGTTGCAGCCAGCAGTCGCCCATTCCAGGTTTGTGGGTACTTGTCCCCATAGCCGATGGTGGTCAGGGTGATCTGCAAGAGAACCCCAACCCTCAGTCACATAGCTTTCTACTGGAAATCACATGGCTTGAGTTGGAAGAGACCTTAAAGTCCACCCAGCTCCAACCACTACCTTGAACAGGAACACCTCCCATAGACCAGGCTGTACAGGGTCCATTCATGGCTGTGGGCACCTCCAGGGATGGGGCACCCAAAGCTCTCTGGGCAGCAGTGCCAGAGCCACACCACACTCTGTGTAAAGAATCTTCTTCTGCCATTTGATCCAAACCTCCTCTATTCTAGTTTAAAACCATCCCCCCACACCTTGTCCTAACAGTATCTCCCCATGTAAAAACTGCTCTCCATCATTTTTTAATAAGTCCTGAAATAAAATAATAAAACAATTAGTACTAAAATAAAATACTAAAATAATAATAAAATAAAGTAAAGCAATGTCACCAAAATTCCCTTAGCAGATGGTGGGGAGCAGACAAGCTTGGGGGCCATCCTGCTTTCAGCACATCTCAAAAGAAACCAGGGTTATTTGCACACATCAGGAGCTGATGCTGTTTACTGCCCATTTTCCCAGCAGTGCTTATTAGCCAGTCTCCCCTCCTTCTTAAAAACTGCACATTAGCCCGACAGGCTGCTTTGTACAAGCTAATTTAGAGGTATTTTTCCCCTCCTCAGTGTTAATGTAATGCACCAAGAGAGGCTGGCAAGCTGTTCCGTGTGTTTTGGGGAAGGAGCTGAGAGATCTGCTGGAAACAAATAACCACTGAGCTTCAAACTGCAGCAAAAGGTGATTTTTCCTGCTTCTGTCCATGAACCTCACAAATGGAGAACGCTGGGCACTGCATCGAGAATTGAGGAAAAGTTTGGAGAGCCTGGGACACACAGGACAGGGAGGACTGGCACGATGGGGACATCCTCATGGAGCCTTCTGCCCAAAGGACACAAGGTCCCTGACCCACAGCCCCAAGGACAGAGCTGTCTCCAGGGGTGATGGAGCCCTGATATAACTGACATGCTGTTGGAAACCTAACGCCTTCAGCCTGGAGCAAAACTGTTTTAATCAAATGGAAGCCCAATCCCAAAGCACCGTTTAATAGCACCCACTAAAAGCCCTATCAATTAGCTGCCATTTTGACAAAGCATTTAGTAAAATGCGTCTACGTGGCTATTCTGTGCTGAAGCAACATTCGCTCCTTAATCACTGCAAGGTTGGGTTATAATTTCTTTACAATTCATGGAGACAACTGCAAGGATTTGGAGCCACTGGGATGAAATCAGGATACAAGCTCCTAAAACCGACAGCTGATTTGTTCTGCTCATTTCTTAGCATGTCTGTACTGGATGTGTGAGCCGGTCAACGACAAGATCTGCTCGTTTTAATGAGGCTGAAATGTCACTGTCAGATGGACAGGAGCAACACCACGTGGTGCAACAACACATCCTGAAATGGGGAATGAGGTGGGAAGCTCTGCATGTGGCTCTCCAGCCTGGGAAGGGATGGCTCTGCCCATGGCTTTCCTCATGCTGAGCTCTGATCTGGGCCGTCAGCTTTCCCCCATTGTTTATTTCCTAGTTATGTCAAATGGGGCTTTGTTTTTATTTTCTGTCATAACCAAGGGGCTTGAAAAGCAATTCACTGCCTTAGCAGCGTTTCATTCCCTTTATTGAAGAAGAGGAGCTGCTTGATCAGCCGATTCCTCCCCAAGCCTGTTATTGGGATTTGATCAGATCTGGGATTTTCATTACATGCTTTGTAATCAAGGCCAAACCAGCGCTGCAGTGCCAGAGCAGAAGAACAATAATGCAAGGAGATTAGAATGTCATTAATTCTCCCTTTGTTAATCAAGTAATCCAATAATTCCCACGCACACACGGAGCAAACTGAAAGTATTGCTCTTTCCTCTTTTGTCAGCAAAGATTTGCAGAGGGAGTGCTTTCAGCACTGAAGTTTTCCTGGTACTTAGAATGCATTAATTATATGAAATATAGTCCGGTGCTTTTAACAGCTCGAGTATGATGATAAATGATGGAAAGGTGGCAATACTTGTCACAGTGATGACCACGGGGCTGTTATTAGGTATGCCACAATGGAGCCAAGTCCCACTGCTGAGCTCCCTCTTGCTGTGCTGCCCCAGATAGCTCAACAAATGCAATCCCATAGCATCTCCTACAAGCCTTATTTAAGAAATCCAGCTAAATGGAATAGCCTGAAGCCATTTAATAAAAATGTTAACTAAGCAGTCTGTAAGCTGATTCCTCAATAAGTGATAGAAGATGGGGGGTTAATGGACATTTTATTTTAATAACCAGCAGCTGCTCTACAAAAATTACTTACCAGACCCCACCAGAGTGCATCTGCGTATGTATCAAAGTGCTCATTTTCTCCTTTCTCGGCCAAGTATACCAGGAAAGAGGCCAGGATGAGGCAGAGGAAGCCAATATACCAGGCAGTAATCAGCTCCTGCAAGATCATTAAGGGACAGAATAGAATAATTGCAATCCTGGTGTGCATCTCCGAAAGCTGAGCCGCTTGCTTGCGGTTGGCCTCAGAGCTGAACTTGCTCTGCATTTGTGCATGTTTAGGCTTTGGGTTTCGGCTGGAGATCAGAAGTGCTGATTTTCAATGCAGTGCAGAGAGGGGACATCTGAGATGGGCCCACGTGTTAGTGATGCCCTGCAGCACTCACAGGATGACCCTCACCCTGCAGAGCACATCACCTTAAACACCTCAGCAAGTGGAAAGGGAGCAGTCATAGCTCCAGTATTTAAAGATGTGGAACAGAAATGAAAACATAATTACTTCTCCAGCCCACACATAAGCTAAAACTGAAACACGAGCCCCCAAATCCGCTGGCTAATTGCAAACTCTATGAAACAAGCTCAGTGTGCAGGTGGTCACTGTGTTCAAGGTATTCCCTGCAAACATCCCAACATCCCTCCCATTTCTGTTCTGCTGGCTGGAGGGCTCCACGGCACCTTGCATTCTACATGTCACCACCCAGCGAGTGCCCCCTCCATCCTCCCAAGCCTGGGAGATGTTTTCGGTGGCGAACCAAACCTAGGCAATGAAAAGAGTGGCTCCACATCCTCTCTTGGGGCTCACTCACCTTGCTGTGCGCGTAAACCACGGAGCCCAACAGCTTCCAGGTGCCACCCCGCCGGTCCATGCGGATCATGCGCAGGATCTGCAGGAAGCGCAAGCTCCTGAGCGCCGAGGTGGCAAAGACGTTGCCCTGGGAGCCCGCTGCCAGCACGGCAATGGACGCGATCAGCACCATGATGTCTGCATGAACAAAGGGCATTGAAAGCTGGAGACGTGCTGCCGGAGCACCACCAAAGGGGTTGGCACTCCCACCGCCACTGGCAGCAGAAGGATGCGTGTGGAAGTGGTATCGTAATACCTGGTGCCAACGGGATACAGCAGAAGACTTAACTGGACAAAAGGAGCAACTACAAACCCGATAGAAATATTTTAGTTTTCTTCTCCACACTCATCGTTCCCAAGAAAATGTGTTTGATATCACCTGACTGCATTCTGATCCAAGGCTAAGTCCTTGCCAGGCCCTTTTTTTAGCTGCTGTGACACCGTGCTGCCCAGAGGTGCAAGCTCCCCTGTCTAAACACCAGAGGTTCACCATAACAACTCCAGGGTGCTTGAGGAAAGAGCAAGAGTCTAAGAAAAGAAGTCATATGCTATAAATCCCAAACCCGAGGATCACAGAAGCACAGGTTGGCTTGGGTTGAAAGAGAACTCAAGGACCATCTAGTTCCAGCCCCCTGCCATGGACAGGGTTGCCAAATCAGGCACTAGGTCAGGTTGCCCAGGGCTTCATCCGATCTGGCCTTGAGCACCTTCAGGGATGGGGCAGGAATCCTGAAACCCTCCCTCTTTCTTGTTTTTCTATGCAATTTTTATGAATGATTTTCTGTGCAATAAGCTAAAATCCCATGCGTGACCCTTGCTAGTTTCTGGACACCTGAAATCAGGCTCCATGGGGCACAGCATGGCTCACCTGCCACTCCTGACCCCAAACAAAGCACCCACTGCGCTCGGATGGCCCTCTGCACAACAGGAGCACCGAGTGCTTTACAAGCAGGAATTAAGTCTCACAATCCCCTTGTGATGCAGCTCCTCAGCACCCAGGAAGGCAAAATGAGGCACGGAGTGAGCAAATTGATGGAGAGGTTGGGCGGGGACCTCAGCTCCTCCCTTCCCTTCTCTAGGTGAGTAACAATCCCCAAACTGCAAGCAAGAAATTGCAGCACTGTGCAAGCAAGCTCTTCAATAGCCATCTTAGGTTGGGAAACCCCATGCAGGAGGCAGGTCTTACCGATGACACAGAAAGGCTTGCGGGCAAATTTCAACCTTCCTCTCCAGCCCCGGTACCGACAGCAGCAGCCGGCTGCCCAGATCCGCACAAAATACTCCACCCCAAACACCACGATGGTGACAATTTCCTGGGGGAGACAACATGCCATCAGCCTAGAAGGAAACATGGTGAGCATGCTCCAGAATGAGAGATCAAGTCCAACAGCCTAAACCCTGCTCTCCTACGCAATGCAGAGTTGCCCCCCGGGTCCATACGGTGGAAAGCCCTATTTTGAGTGATGCTCAGACCTTTGCTGCTGGGTTTTCCCTTTCCTGGGCAGGGGATGAGAAAGAGAACAAAGCAAAAACAACGGAAAAAGTTCAGGAAGAAGGTTTAGAATATTACGTCAGAGGAAATATTGTGCTCAGATTACTCCTGAGTGCCCTGATACAGATTTCTCCTTTCCTTATTGTGGGTCACAACAGACACTGACTCACAAGTGATGGTTCATGTTCTTGCCTGAGTTAAATACCCCCAAACTGAGGGGTAGGTGCTTTTCTTGTGTATTTTTAACTTTATTTTGATGTGATATTGCTCACTTCATTTGCAAATCCCAACTCACCAGAATATAAAGGGCCCCTTCAGAGCTGTTCTGATACTCATCGATGGTTGAGAAGACAGACAGCACCAGGCAGGAGAAAACAAGTAGAAAACTACAGGATACAAAAAAATAAAAACAAAAAAAATACAGAGGGACAGAACATCAGTCTTCAGAGCAAGAACTTTTCACACTCGGTCACACGTTCTGACATTTACACACAGGAGCATTCACCACGCTGCTGCTCTAACACTGTCCCTTTACAAGGATACCTCTAACTGGTGATGAGGAGATAAGAAGTGACAGCAACGAGGCCACCAGACCCATGCAATCACACTTGGGATCACTCTGCCGATCAGTCGCAGGGCTCACATTTAACACTGGAGGAGAACCAGCCAGCAAAAGGGAACCTGGATCCCCGATTCTATGAACAGGAAGGGTTGGGTGCAGAAGAACCCACTGGACCGGTCCCAGTTTGGCCAGTGCCAAGACACCTCCATTCCCAGCATGTGGCTGCGACAGCCTCTGAGATCACTTCCATGTTATGTCAGCTCCAACAAACATGGAAACACTCCTTTGCTACATCCTCACTGCCAGAGAAGCTTGGTAACTCTTCAGATTCCATTCCACCAGCTGCTTTCCCAGCATCCCTCGTCCACAGATTACCAAGATTGGGATTTAACAGAGATGGGATTTGGGTTTTGCGTGGTGCTGTGTGAAGCCAAGAGGTGAACACAATGATCCCTATGGGTCCCTTCCAACTTGGGATATTCTACAGTTCTATGATAAAACGCACGCAGAGGCTGTCCCCACCAAGCATCCCCTCCACATGAGCACTGGGTGCACCAATGCCAATCCAAAGGCACTGATGAGTGGCAGCAGCTCCACTCTCTTCTGATGTTTGATGCCAGCTCCGCAACCGTGGAGGTGTCCTGGCACCTGCTTGTGGCCGGAGAAACCCCCACCAACCTGCCATGCCTGCTGCTTACTCAAACAAAAGAAGGGAAATTAATTTGCTGCAGATCAATTTACTGAAACAATGAAGTAGGCCAGCACGGGGAGGAACTAAAAGCTGCATTCTTTCAAAGCATTAAATAATTCATCTGTCTGGCTTTGTCTCACATTCCTACAAACTGACTTTCAAATATTTATAAGGCACAGTCGGGCTGTAAGGTACAGCTGCTTGGTGCTGTGTAAAGAGAGGCACTGCAGGGCTGTGCCTGCGGCTTCTCAAGGGCCATTAACATCACAGTGCTCAGGTATAGAGGGGGGATTGGCAGTATTTATTCTGACCACAGGCAGTGCTGAGTCTGCTGGAGGGAAGGGACCTTCAGAGCCACACCACAAGGCCAGCAGTGAATCCTATTCAGCACAGAACAGCTCAGGACAATCCCCTCATTTCTCCCTTTCTGGTACTCGGGGACCTGGAACAATCCCAAAAAGCAAGGAGTTGCCCCCTGTAATCCCACTCACCATCACTCTCACCTGACGTGGTTTTTGCAGGCTGTGCAGTGAGAGGGAGCTGCAAATGGGTCAGGCAGCCCCGCTCCTGGGGTGGCCCAGATTTTGGTGCACACTCCCACGCCAGAGTGAGAAACAAATGAATAATCGATGAAAGAAGAAAGAGAAGAGGGGGAAAAAATAGATCATGGGAAAGGATGGGGGAAAAAGAAAATCCTACATGTTCTGATTGAAGAAATAGGGCGTGGGTTGTGTTTCTGGGACTGAATATCACAATAAAATGCTCAGACAGGTGCTGAAAGCCAAGTGCTGGCATCAGAGCAGACATGCACACCTTGTTTACTAAGGTGGATGCTTCAGATGGATCCGGAATGAAGCCACGCTGAAACAATGAGTCCTGCTGGGGATGAATGCCAGGAGAAAGAGGAGTCCTGCATGTTACCTCTGTCATTAGAAATGTATTGATAGGGCAAAAAAAAAAAAAAAAGAGAAAGGAAGGAAAAGACATTGCTCTGTCATTTCAACATGAGCTGAAAGCATTACCCAATAGATAAGGCTCTTTGTACAGATGTGGTCCAACATGCCTTCTGGTGAACATCTTCCTCGTGCCCTTTGCAAGCTGTGGCTGTGCAGGGTGAGCCAGAGCTGCTCCATGGGCAAAACCCCATAGGGCAGCAGCTCCCATCCCTCTGCTCTGTCACCCCACAGGGATGCTCAGCCAGCAGTTGAGGAATGGTCCTGCCACCGTAGGATGTGGGCACTTCACTAGCATACCAAAATAGTTCCATGGTGATGCACAGCTGCTCTGCTCAAATCCAAGGTTCCCAAACCTCCGGGAGGCTGAAAAGTAGACTCTGAGAATGAAACATTTTTTCCACTGGATTCATGGAGTTCAGCGCAGCTGCTGAAAGGCTCTGAAGGCTCTGCTGCTTCCCTGTTTCCATGGGATGGAAGGTGAAAGCTGAGCCATATCTGTGCTAAGGTGGAGAGCACCCTCTGAGCTCCCATGGAGGGCAGGCAGTGGGAAATTGACTCTGCTTTCATTACATCTAATCCACCCGGACAGTGCAGGACAGGGCTCCAGCTCATAATGGACAGCAAGGGAAAGGGAAACAGGCCAATAAACGGCACAGAGGTTGGGATGAATCTAATTTTTAAAGCTACATATCTAATCAAAGCAAATTATGTCTGCAGCCTGACTCTGGGTAATGTTAATGTGCAATAAGGAACGTTAATTATGTCCCATCTAATGATTTTTACATTAAAGATGCCAATTCTGCTTACAGCTGGGCAGAAGACAATATCCTCCCCCCAGGCAGACAGGAGCTGGGCCCCACGCAGCAGAGCTGGCAACAACCTCCCCAAACTGGGCCAGGATGCAAATGACAGCGAGTGCTGCTGCACCTCCATCCCTTCCACGGGTGACAGCAGGGACAGAGCTGGCAGCAGCCTGCAGGCTGCTGGGGACAGACACTTCTTGAGTTGCTCCCACCTCTGTGCTCAGCCAAGACTCAGCTGTGCAAATCTGATGGCTGCAAACAGCTGAAAAACCCAAAGTCCTCCAAAGTTTGCCTTCCTGTCCAAAGGTTCATAGAATGGCTTGGGTTGGAAGGGATCTCGAGGATTATGAAGCTCCAACCCCCCCACTTCAGGCACGGACTCCAACCTCTGTATCTAATAGCAGACCAGGCTGCCCAGGACCCCATCCAACCTGGCCTCTAACACCTCCAGGGGCATCCACAGCCCCTCTGGGCAGCTGTTCCAGCACCTCACCACTCTCTCAGTTAAGACAAGTTATGTCAACATAAAACACCCATGGCAAGCTTCTTATTCTGGATTATCAATCTTGGCACGAAACCTCCATATCCAGATTTCATCTCCACTGCATTTCATGTTAGCAGTAGAAGAAGAAATGAGTGAGCTCCCGCTCCGTTAAACAAATAAGGAAGCAAATAATGAAATAAAACGACTTGAAACGTGAAAGGCATATTTTTTCCCTCTCTGTCTCCTTTTGGTAAAAGTAAATAACAGAATCCTTATAAACCTTTTCAGATTATTAATCTCATTTGCCTTCTAAAAGACACTCCCTTGGAACCT